CCCAGGTCCAGAGTTCAGGCCCCACGACCGGTCCCAAAAAAAAAATTAAAAAAAAAAAACAACATTATCATTGGAGGTGTGATTCAGATGATAGAGTGCCAGCCAGTGAGCAAAAGCATCACATATCAAATTTGAGTCTCAGTCTCAGACAAAAAAAAAAAAAGTAAAGATAATGGTAAGTAGATGTTGGTAGTGGCTCATGTCTGTAATACTAGCTATTCAGGAGGCTGAGATCTGAGAATCATGGTTTGAAACCAGCCAAGGCAGAAAAGCCCATGCAACTCTATACTAGCAAAAAGCAAAAAAAAGCAAGAAGCAAAGCTGTGGCCCAAGTGGTAGCATGCCAGCCTAGAGTGAAAATGCCAGGCAAGATTGAGGCCCTGAGTTCAAATCACAGTACTGTTATTATAGAGGTGATGTACAGAGAGATTACAATTATATGAGTCAAGTAATGAGTACATTTCTTTTTTTTTTTTTGGGTCCGGTCGTGGGGCCTGAACTCTGGGCCTGGGCGCTGTCCCTCAGCTCTTCAGCTCAAGGCTAGCACTCTACCACTTGAGCCACAGCGCCACTTCTGGCTTTTTTCTTATGTGGTGCTGAGGAATCGAACCCAGGGCCCCGAGCATGCAAGGCAAGTGCTCTACCACTGAGCCACCTTCCCAGCCCTAATGAGTACATTTCTTTTCTTTTCTTTTTTTTTGTCGGTTGTGGGTCTTGAACGCTGAGCCTGGGCGCTGTCCCTCAGCTCTTCAGCTCAAGTCTAGCACTATACCACTTGAGCCACAGCACCACTTCTGGTTTTCTGGTGGTTAATTGGAGATAAGAGTTTCATGGACTTTCTTGCCAGGGCTGGCTTTAAACTGTGATCCTCAGATCTCAGCCTCCTGAGTAGCTAGGATTACAGGCATGAGCCACCGGTGCTTGGCTGTACATTTCCTTTAGTACACTCTCTCCAAGTCCCTCCCTCCCATCTCCACTTACGAGTTGTGTAGTTCACTTTCATCAATGTCCAGTGAGCTCCACTGCTGCATTTTTTCACCTTTTTTCCCTGGAGTTTTTTGCGCCCCCCCCCCAGATATGCACGTGAATAACCATACATAAGGAAAATAAGACAGAATAATCCTAAAAACTTAAAAAGAAGTATTTTGTTTCCATATCTTAGAGTTTGTTTCAGTATGTTTATTATTTTATATAAATATTAAGAGACACTTAGGCATTGTGCCTTTGTATTTCTCTCCTAAGAGTATCTTCTTTTGGTCTCACTGTATGTATCTAGAATCCTGTATAATTTTTCATATCCCAGTGCATTTTAGATCTAACTTATCAGATAGAACATGTACCATTTGTCTCTCTGATCTTGGCTTACGTCACTTAACATGAGTTGTTCCAGTTCCATCCATTTCCCTACCAACGACATTATTTTATTCTTTCTAATGGCTGTATAAAATTCCATTGCGTATAGGTACCAGACTTTTTGGATCCACTCATCTGTTGGGGGACATCTGGGCTGTTTCTGTATCTTAGCTATTGTGAATAGTGCGGCAATGAACATGGATGTGCAGGTGTCCTAAGCATATCTGGGTTCATGATGTTCAGGATAGATGCCTAGGAGTGGTATGGTTAATAATTGATGGAATCACATGAAACATTGTGTGCACAGGCATAACAACAGAATCAAGCAGTCTCTGCTTTACATAATTACAGGTTTAGCTAATGGAAGTTTAGTTAAATAATACCAGTCCCTTGATGACACGGTTCAAAATATCAGTGACCCTCTCACATCAACCTCAAGTGTTTATATAATGTGCATTTTTTTGTGTATGCTGATTCTGGGGCTTGAATTCTGAGCCTGGCACTGTCCCTGAGCTTTTTATGTGCTCAAGGCTAGTACTCTACCACTTGAGCCATAGTGCCACTTCCAGCTTTTTCTGAGTAGGTTATTGGAGATGAGTCTCATGATCTTTCCTGCCTGGGCTGGCTTCAAACCTTGATTCTTAGATTTCAGCCTCCTGAATAACTAGGATTATAGGTGTAAGCCACCAGTGCCTGGCTCGTATTACCTTCTTCCCCTCTCCTTTTATTTATTATTATTTATCTTTTTTTTTTTTTGGTCAGTCCCGGGGCTTGAATTCTGAGCTTGGGCGCGGTGCCTCAGCTCATCAGCTCAAGGTAAGCGCTCTAGCTCTACCGCTTGAGCCACAGCGCCACTTCAGTTTTCTGGTAGCTAATTGGAGATAAGAGTCTCATGGACTTTCCTGCCTGGGCTGGCTTTGAATTGTGATCCTCAGATCTCAGCCTCCTAAGTAGCTAGGATTACCAGTGCCTGGCTTCCCCTTTTATTTTTGCTAGCCCCACATTTTGAACTCAGAGCCTGGGCTCTGTCCCTTAGTTTCTTTGCTTAATGCTAGCACTCTACTACTTGTACTGCAATTCCACTTCTGGCTTTTTGGTGATTAATTGTAGATAAGAGTCTCATAGACTTTTTTTTTTGTCAGTGGTGGGGCGTGAACTCTGGGCCTGGGCCTTGTCCCTCAGCTCTTCAGCTCAAGGCTAGCACTCTACCATTTGAGCCACAGTGCCACTGCTGTTTTTTTCTGCTTATATGGTGCTGAGGAATCGAACCCAGAGCCTCATGCATGCAAGGCAAGTACTTTACCACTGAGCCACCTTCCCAGCCCAGAGTCTCACAGACTTTACCAGTGGCCTGGCTCCAAACTGTGATTCTCAGATCTCAGCCTCCTGAATCACTAGGGTTACAGGCATGAGCCACTGGCACCTGGCTTTTAACTGTTTTCTACATATAAGCCTGACATTCTCAGAGGCAAGGTTTCTTACCTCAGGCCAAAGACAAACATCAAAGACTGTGTTCTCATCCTTCAGTACTCTCCAGGGCTTTGCTTGAGGCCTGGTCGTGCATGGCCCCAGGAATGCAGCCACAACGCAACAGACATGGCTCCGGGAAGCAGTGTCATATTCACTCCCATGCCCGCAGCTCTGCCAGGTCTCACACCACCACCGCCCTGCCAGGCCCCTGCTCCCACGGCTCATCCTAGCTCAGCCAGAAGGCTGGTCATACATCCTCATTTGGCATAGATATCACCAAGCTGTCCTTGCGCTCAGTGCAGCCAGGTGCTCAGGATACCCACCTGCCCCTAGATACAACTTCTCCAGGGCTGGCAGAGGCCAGGGAGGGTAATAACAATACTGACTGCCGGGCTGGGAAGGTAGCTCAGCGGTAGAGTGCATGCCTTGCAAGCATGAGGCCCTGGGTTCGATTCCTCAGCACCACATAAACAGAAAAAGCCGGAAGTGGCGCTGTGGCTCCAGTGGTAGAGCGCTAGCCTTGAGCTGAAGAGCTGAGGGACAGCGCCCAGACCCAGAGTTCAGGCCCCATGACCGGCAAAAACAAACAAACAAACAATACTGACTGCCTATGTTGTTTTTCTAGACAGTGAGTTCTGCTCCTCTGATGTGCCTGTCTGTCCTTTCTTTCTTTTCTTTCTTTTTTTTTTTTTTTTTGGGGGGGGGGGGTCCGATTGTGGGGCCTGAACTCTGGGCCTGGGCGCTGTCCCTCAGCTCTTCAGCTCAAGGCGAGCGCTCTACCACTTGAACCACAGCGCCACTTCCGGCTTTTTTCTTTTTGCTTATGTGGTGCTGAGGAATCGAACCCAGGGCCTCGAGCATGCAAGGCAAGCGCTCTACCACTGAGCCACCTTCCCAGCCCTTCTGTCCTTTTTTGTAATAAGCTTTAACATTGTACACTATGATTCAGGCTTATTTTTGCCAGTCCTGGAGCTTGAACTCAGGGCCTGGCACTGTCACTGAGTTTCTTTTGCTCAAAGCTAGCACTCGGCCACTTGAGCCACAGCACCACTTCTGGCTTTTTCTGTGTATGTGGTGCTGAGGAATCGAACCCAGGGCTTCATGCATGCAAGGCAAGCACTCTCCCACTAAGTCACCTTCCCAGCCCTGATTCAGGCTTTTAATTCACCTGTTAAATTCCTAGGACTCAAACTGAGGGGCTTGTAGGTGCCCAACAAGAGTCCTCCTCTGAGCTCCTGCCCCAACTGCTGGATCCCTGCCTTTTCCTCCTTGCATTTTGTTTATTGAGTAAATCAAGTACCTATGCTGTCTCCATCAGTAGGAGCCTGTGAATTGCAGCTCCCTGCTCTTCCTATGTTCTTCTGTTCCTTGTATTTCTCTTCATTCAGTGGTATGAGTTGTTAGGTGCACTTTAAAAAAATGTAGGGGGCTCTGGGAAGGTGGCTGAGTGGTAGAGCGCTTGCCTTGGATGCATGAGCCCCTGGGTTCGATTCCTCAGCACCACATAAGCAGAAAAAAGCCGGAGGTGGCGCTGTGGCTCAAGTAGTAGAGTGCTAGCCTTGAGCTGAAGAGCTGAGGGACAGCGCCCCAGGCCCAGAGTTCAGGCCCCATGACTGACCCCCTTAAAAAATGTGGGCACAAGTCCTAGGACTTAACTCAGAGCCTGGGTACTGTTCTTGAACATTTTTGCTCTACCATTTGAGCCACAGTTCTACTCCCAGCTTTTTGGTTGTTAATTGGAAATAAGTCTGATGGACTTTCTTGTCTGGGCTGGTTTTGACCCGTGATCTTTAGATCTCAGCCTCCTGAGTAGCTGAGATTGTAAGTGTGAGCCACCAGTGTTGGGCTGTTAGGATTGTGGCAGGTGGTGGGCGCTTCCATAGTTGAACCATGATTTGAGATGATGCTGTCAGTGGTTCTCACCTGGGTCCTTTTGTTATCGAACAACAGAAATTATCTACATTTTTCCTCTGCGTGTGTGTGTGTGTGTGTGTGTGTGTGGTGTATGTGTATGTGTTTGTGTGTGTGTGTGTGTGTGTGTGTGTATGTGCAAGGACTGATTAAAATAATCATGCAATGAAGTATTTGGTGTCTGCCTGGCTTGGGGACACGTGCTGTTGTTAGAACTGGTGTGGGAGGGGGCTCTAGTCCTAGCTTGGTGTCATTTCCTGGCTCAGGCTCTCTACCCTTCTCCTCTACCCCTGGCGGGGAGTCAGAGCGTCCCTCCCTGTGGATCTAGGAGGCATGTTCAGGAGTGCAGCAGCCATCTCTGGGCACCTGGTGGGGCCGCTCTGGGGGAAGAAGGTCGGAGCCTCGCTCACCCGGTGCTTGCATCAGACTGTAAGTGCCCTACCCAGCCCTTGACCACCTCGTGGCTTGGGGATCCTGGTGACTGGCTTGGTCCTGGCTTGGTTCTTTGCATGAGCCTGTTCTTCCAGGAAGGCCTCCCGGAGAGCAGCAGGCTGTGCCTCCCCCGCCTTGCTTCTCTGTTCTGGAAATGGGTAACGCTTCTGCTGCAGGAATGATCAGCTTGGGTGCTGCTCCTGCTCCCAGCTTCCCCATGCCCAGCCAGCACCTGGCTCACCACAGGGCCCATGACTCATGCATTAGCCCAAGAGCAGGCACCTTCCCCATCCACCCAAGCACTGCCTGCCATGGCTGAAGGTCACTCAAGGCATAAGGATTGTGATTCGAGGCCAGTCCAGGCAAAAGTTAACAAGATTGGGCTGGGAAGGTGGCTCAGTGGTAGAACGCTTGCCTTGCATGCCTGAGGCCCTGGGTTCAATTCCTCAGCACCACATAAGAAAAAAGCAGAAGTGGCACTCTGGCTCAAGTGGTAGAGCGCTAGCCTTGAGCTGAAGAGCTGAGGGACAGCGCCCAGGCCCAGAGTTCAGGCCCCAAGACCGGACCAAAAAAAAAAAAAAGTTAACAAGATTTTTTAATTTCAAGGCCATCTTTGAACTTAAAAAAAAAAAAAGCCCGTGAGCTTGAATTAAAAAAGCCAGTTAGAACCGGGCGCTGGTGGCTCACGCCTGTAATCTTAGCTACTCAGGAGCCTGAGGATCATGGTTCAAAGCTAGCCTGGGCAAGAAAATCCCTGAGACTTTAATCTCCAATAACCCACCAGAAAACCAGAAGTGAGGCTGTGGCTCAGGGGGTAGCGCACTCACCTTGGGCTGAAGAGCTGAGGGACAGCGCCCAGGCCCAGAGTTCAGGCCCCACGACCAACCAAAAAAAAAAAGCCAGTTACTTTGAGATTTATATGAAAAATACATTGGAGAAAAAGAAGACTGGGCTGTGACTAAGCAAGAGGCCTGAGTTCATTCTACAGCATGGGGGAGGGGACTCCAAGGCCCACACTGGCATCACAGACACGCTGACAGGGTCCTGGGTGGCTTCTTCTCTGACCACCCATGGTCAGGGTCCTGCGCCTCCACGAGCCTCCTGTCTTCACCGCTGCCTCGGGCGCTCGTGGCTCCTGCGGTGGGTGCTGAGCAGCTCCTGACTCCCTGCAGGGCTTCAGCCATATCAGAGAGTTGCCAGGATGCTAGAGACCTGGCTCTGCCACCTGCCCAGGACCGGCCAGCCCACTGGAGCAGAGGGTCCTGAGGGACCACAAGCCACCGGTTAAAGCCCAGAGGAGCCGGGTCCCCCTGTCCACTATCACCAGCTGAGGCTGGCTGGGTTTGGTGGCTCTCAAGCCAAGGGACAGGGGGTGGGGACCCTGGGGACCCTTCCAGGCCTGTGTGACTGTCCCTCTCCTCCTCCCCAGAGTCACACTTCAGCCTGGGGGCAGACAGGCCTGAGGTTGGGTGACTTTGTCATGTGACCTTGAACACATCACACCACACACACACACACACACACACACACACACACACACACACACACACACACACACACACACACACACACACACACACACACACACACACACACACACACACTCCTTTCTCTCATTTGTCAGTGTGCCCAGCCAGTTCAGCCTGAGCATTCAACAGAGGAGCTCCCCACATGGAAGGTGCTGCTGTCCCCGCTGTCCCGTTCCACACCCCCTCCAGCCACATCTCTTCGTCATCCCTCAGCCCCTCCTGGGTCGCACTCTAAGGGGGGCTGGTGGACGCCATGGGCGCTGTGGCTGCAGGAGGCTAGGTGAAAAGGGGAGGGGCCAGTCAGGGGGAGTAGGAGCAGGAAGTGGAAGCAGGTTGGAGCCTGTCAGGGTGTGTGAACCTCTGGTGCACAGCCCTGGGCTCCCGGGAGCTTCCCCGACAGCCGCTCCTGGGCGATCCTGACACCGGCCTTCACTCTCTCCAGCTCACCATGGCCAAGCGACTGCAGGCCCACCGCCTGGACGGGATTGACCACAACCCCTGGTGAGATGATGGACTTGGGAGGAACGCGGGTGTCCCCTCAGCCATGGGCTCACCCTCGCTGGCTTGCAGTAATGACAGCCTGAGCCAGGAGAGGCCAGGCCCAAGGAAACAAGCTGGCCCCCAGTCTCCTCTTCAGTTTGCTTGGCTGTGATGCTGGGACATGTAAGAACTCATCTGGTGCAGCCTCAGCTCCCAGCTCACACGGCGACAGTTCTACCTCCGTGGGAGGCCTTGGGAGGATGAAGTTAAGTGTGTAAATAGCACCAATACCAGGAGACATGCTCTTCTGAATCACCACTGACCTTCTACGTGTGTGGCTACCATTCCACCAAATGTGTCTCTATGTGTGTGTATGTATACATACATATATATAATTTTTAAAATTGTATCTAGCCAGGCCCCAGTGGCTCCTATCTATAATCCTAGCTACTCAGCAGGTTGAGATCTAAGGATCACAGTTTGAAGATAGTCCCTGGCAGGAAAGTCCATGAGACTACTCTTATCTCCAATTAACCACCAAAAAGCTAGAAGTAGAGCTGTGGCTCAAGTGGTAGAGCACCAGCCTTGAGTAAAAATTCTCAGGGTCAGGGCTGGGAAGGTGGCTCAGTGGTAGAGCGCGTGCCTTGCATGCCTGAGGCCCTGGGTTCGATTCCTCAGCACCACATAAGCAAAAAAAAAAAAAAAAGCCAGAAGTGGCACTGTGTCTCAAGTGGTAGAGCGCTAGCCTTGAGCTGAAGAGCTGAGGGCCAGCACCCAGGCCCAGAGTTCAGGCCCCACGACCGGACCCAAAAAAAAAAAAAATTCTCAGAGTTCAAGTGTATACACACACACACACACACACACACACACACACACACACACACACACACACGTGTGCATACATACACACACATATTTGGACTTGTTTAGAAGGTAAAAGGATTTTCTTTCTTTTGTTGAGTAACATGCAGTGGAGAGATGCGTAAGAAAGATTTCATCATCAGTATTAGGGAAATATTCATGAGGTTGTCAACAGATGTTTTTAAAGATAGAATGAGTTAGATAGGGTGTAGCTCCATGGTGGAGACTTGTGGTCATGTTTAAGGCCTTGGGTTCCATTTCCCGCCTGGTGAAGATAAGAATGAAAGAGCAGGCTGACACAGGCTGGAACAGGCTACAGTCGGAAAGACGCTTTTGTTTCCTTGTATGACGTTTGAAATGCTCTGGCTGTTCCACCAGTGACTGCCATGGTGCCTGGCTCCCTCAGCTGATCTGCTGTCTAGGGACAGACGCAGTTTTCCCAACTTCGTAGAACAGCTCTGTTCATGCTCTCTGTGTCCTAACTCTGTGTTTGTTCCCAGGGTGGAGTTTACTAGGTTGGCCAATCAGTATGAGGCCGTCAACTTGGGCCAGGGCTTCCCTGACTTCTCACCCCCAGACTTCGCTCTGGAAGCTTTTCAGCAGGCCATCAGCGGGGATATAATGCTCAACCAGTACACCATGGCGTTTGTGAGTTTCTCTGCTTCTCTGGATGCCCCTGAGGAAGAGTGGAATAGGCCTTTGTGGACTTTAAGGTGCCATAGGCATCAGCGCTCATGGAGCAGATGTGGGGAATTCAGTGGGACTGAAGTGGAGATTTTACTGAGTGTCTCTTCTATCCCAGGCCCTGGGCCTTGTGGCTCAGTGGGGAGGTCAGTCAGGAATCAGTCATGACCCCGGTAGCTGGTCCATGTTGTGAGGGATGGAACATGGGAGGGGAAGGACCAAATGAAACCTGGGAAAGGGAAGTGAGGAGAGACAGGAAGCCACCTGGGAATGTGGTCTCTGAACTTGGTTGGGAAGACTCTTAAAGCTTTTGTTTTTTGTGTTTTTTTTGTTGTTGTTGTTGTTGGTTGTGGGGCTTGAACTCAGGGCCTGGATGCTGTCCCTGAGCTCTTTTGCCTGGGCTGATTTTGAACCACCATTCTCAGATCTCAGCCTCCTGAGAAGCTAGGATTACAGGCATAAGCCAGCAGCGTCTGGCTTGGAGAGCCTCTTATCTCCAATAAACTACTCAGAAAAAGCTGGAAATGGTGCTGTGGCTTAAGTGATAGAGTGCTAGCCTTGAGCAAAAAGAAGCTCAGGGACAGAGCTCAGGCCCTGAGTTCAAGCCCCAGGACCAGCACTAAGAAAAGTATGTCATGGGCATTTTGCATTGCTGGGGATTGAACCTAGGGCCTGGAGCATGGTTCTACCATGGAGCTACAACCCCAGGCTCCTTGGCGCAGGCTGCAGGGGATAAGAAACAGCTCAAGACACAGGAGCTGACTCAGACCCCAGGCTTCGTGGAAGGGTCTGCAATGGCCTGGGGGCAGAGGAGAAGAGATTGGGGGGGACCAGGGTGAGCTGAGGGGCTGATCTTGCTATCCTGGCAGGGTTATCCACCCCTGACCAGGATCCTGGCAGATTTCTTTGGCAAGCTGCTGGGCCAGGAGTTGGATCCACTCAAGAATGTGCTGGTGACGGTGGGTGCCTATGGAGCCCTGTTCACAGCTTTCCAGGCCCTGGTAGATGAAGGTGATGAGGTGAGTGGTGAGTCTTGAGCTGGGTTGGGGGACGGGGTGGGGCCCAGGAAGTGGCAACCCCAGCCGATCCGACCCTTGCACCAGGTCATCATTATTGAACCCTTCTTTGACTGCTATGAGCCCATGACACTGATGGCCGGGGGTCGCCCTGTGTTTGTGTCCCTGAAACCGGTAAGAATGCTGAGTGGGACACGGGAGCGCCAAGGAGTGGGCTGGGCCTGGGATGTGGGACAGCGAGAAAGAAGGAAGGAGCGCAAGGTGGGCAAGGTGGAGTGGTGCCAGAGCCCCTGCGGTGCCAAGGTGGGCACAGGACGTGCTGTCAGGTAAGTTCTGCCTTGTCTCCCACCTCCTCCTGCAGAGCCACACCCCTGAGGGCGGACTGAAACTCAGCAGTGACTGGCAGCTGGACCCCACAGAACTGGCCAGCAAGTTCACATCCCATACCAAAGCTTTGGTCCTCAATACACCCAACAATCCCCTGGGAAAGGTACCTGGGAGAACTCAGACCAGGGAGCCCTGCGGGCTGGGCTGGCACTCTAGCTCTCTAGCTGGTCTTTGTTTGGGGCCTCAGTCTCTCTGGGAAGGAGAGCTGAACTTAGGGTCCCAAGGCCTGGGGCAGGAATCCCTTTAACACCCCTCAGTGGCCTTGGAACGCGTCCTCTCCCCCCACCCCAGTCCTGGGGCTGGAATTCAGGGCTTGAGTGCTGTCCTGTAGCTTTTTTTTTGGTCAGTTGTGGGGCTTGAACTCTGGGCTTGGGCACTGTCCCTGTTCTCTTCAAGGTGAGTGCTCTACCGCTTGAGCCACAGCGCCACTTGTGGTTTTCGGGTGGTTTATTGGAGATAAGAGTCTCATGGACTTTCCTGCCCAGGCTGGCTTTGAACCGCGATCCTCAGATCTCACCTCCTGAGTAGCTAGGATTACAGGCGTGAGCCACTGATGCCCGGCTTGTAGCTTTTTTTTTTTTTTTTTAACTCAAGGCTAGTGCTCTACTACTTGAGCCACAACTTTTCTCTCAGCTTTTTGATGGGTTAGGGAGATAAAAGTCTCAGGGACTTTCCTACCTGGGCTGGCTTCAAACTACAGTCCTCAGAGCTCAGCGTCGAGTAGCTAGGATGATGAGTGTGAGCCGCAGGTGACTGATCACTTTGATCTTTATAAAGTAAGACTTCAAAACAGGACGACTTCCCAGGTCCCATGGTGGAAGTTCAAGAGGGGTCACGGGGAGCCCTGGTACCCAGATCGGCTGCATACCAACAGTACCACTACAGGCCTGGGCCCTTCTGGATCTCACAGGTGTTCTCGAAGTCAGAATTGGAGCTGGTGGCCAGCCTGTGTCAGCAGCACGACGTGCTGTGCATCTCTGACGAGGTCTACCAATGGCTGGTCTATGACGAGCACCAGCACATCAGCATCGGTGAGCCACATGACAGGCCTTCCCCAGCATGCTGGAGGCTGAGCCTTGAGCCCATGCTATTCTGGGAGGCAGGAGGCCTGGGCCTCATGATAAGAACCCAGGGCCGTGGGTTTACATAGCTGGCACCAGTACCCTTCTTCGAATCAAGAGCCAAGTGGCATCTGTCTCCCAAGGGTGTTATAAACTTGAGATCAAATAGTTCCTGCTGGGCTGGGAAGGTGGCTCAGTGGTAGAGTGCTTGCCTTGCATGCATGAGGCCCTGGGTTTGATTCCTCAGCACCACATAACCAGAAAAGGCCAGAAGTGGTGCTGTGTCTCAAGTGGTAGAGCACCAGCCTTGAGCTGAAGAGCTGAGGGACAGTGCCCAGACCCAGAGTTCAAGCCCCACAACCGACCAAAAAGACCCCAAAAAATCCAAATAGTTCCAATAGCCTGGTGAGTTCAGAGTCTATAAAGGCCACAGCTCTGACAGTCTGTCCTGGTCCCCACAGCCCAGGCCACCCCTCCTTCCTTTCTCCCCTGGTCCCCAATTCCTTGGTCCAGGCTGCCCCTCCTACCCTTCCTCATCTCAGCAATGTGTTCTTTGCCCTTGGACAGCCAGCCTCCCTGGCATGTGGGAACGGACCCTGACCATCGGCAGTGCGGGCAAAACCTTTAGTGCCACAGGCTGGAAGGTGAGTGGGGCACTTTGGGGGCCCCTCCCCGACCCTGTCTCAGGTAGGAGATGGCAGCTGGGCCTGGGCCCAGCTCTCAGGGCCTCACCCCTACCTGTGGTCCTGGTTCAGGTAGGCTGGGTCTTGGGTCCGGATCATATCATGAAGCACTTGAGGACTGTGCACCAGAACTCTGTCTACCACTGTCCCACCCAGGCACAGGTGAGCAGCGAGGGGCCTCAGGGAAGTGACAGGGAGAGACAGCCGATCCAGAGTCCTGACACAGCTGACCTGTCTCCTTGTGTATCCACCCTGCTCAGGCTGCAGTCGCCAAGAGCTTTGAGCAGGAGCTGAGACACTTGGGCCAGCCCAGCAGCTACTTTGTGCAGCTTCCCCAGGCCATGCAGCACAACCGGGACCACATGATCCGCAGCCTGCGGTCTGTGGGCCTGGATCCCATCATCCCCCAGGGCAGCTACTTCCTCATCACAGACATCCTGCAGATCAGTGAGTGAACTGAACGCACTTCTCAGGCTTGGCGGCTTTCAGAGCCACTGAGGGCTCAGCCTGACTTCTGTCCCCCAGAGAACAAGATGCCTGACTTGCCTGGTGCTGCGGACGAGCCCTATGACAGACGCTTCGTCAAATGGATGATCAAGAACAAGGTGGGCCTGGTTTCTGCCCTGCCGCTTGGTTATGGTCGTACACATTGTGCATGGATTGCTGAGGTTCAACTAAGGGAATACCAGTAGAGCCTGCTGTGAACAATGGAACAGTTTATATCCAGTCAAAAACAGGGAAGAGGCCAGGTGTCTGGTGGCTCACACCTGGGATCCTAGCTGCTCTGGAGGCTGAGATCTGAGGATCATGGTTCAAAGCCAGCCTGGTAGGAAAGTCCGTGAGACTCTTATTTCCAACTAAACACGAAAAGCCAGAAGTAAAGCTGTGGCTCAAGTAAAACATTGACCTTGGGCGAAAAGCCAAGTGAGAGCACCAGGCCCTGACCTGAATTCAAGCCCTTGTACTTACTGGCCCAAAACAACAAACAAAAGACAAATGTATTTCTAATTTGCATAAAATACCCTATTGGCTGGCAGGAATTCCTGACCCACTGTGTGCTCAGCCTTACCTACAGCTCATCAATCATCTCTGAAGGCCACCAGCTCAGGTCTCAAACTTTTTTTTTTTTTTTTTTGTCGGTCTTGGGGGGCTTGAACTCTAGGCCTGGGCTTTGTCCTTGAGCTCTTCAGCTCAAGGTTAGCGTTCTACCACTTGAGCCACAGTGCCGCTTCTGGCTTTTTCTGTTTATGTAGTACTGAGGAATCAAACCCAGGGCTTCATTTATGCTAGACAAGCACTCTACCACTGAGCCACCTTCCCAGCCCTCAGGTCTCAGACTTTAAGGCTTCTTTTTTAATTTCTTTCTTTCTATTTTTTTTTTGGTTGGTTGTGGGGCCTGAACTCTGGGCCTAAGCTCTTTAGCTCAAGGCTAGCACTCTACCACTTGAGCCACAGCACCACTTCTAGTTTTTTTTTTCTCCCTGGGGGTTAACTGGAGATCAGAGTCTCATGGACTTTCCTGCCAGGGCTGGCTTTGAACCAGCTGGCTTTCAGCCTCTTGAGTAGCTAGGATTATAGGCATGAGCCACCAGGTCCTGGCCAGGCTTATTTGTTCTCTGGCTCTGCCCTGGCCTGCTGCCCATCTCTCCTTCACCAGCAGGGACCTGGTATAATGTCCTGGGGTTCCTTTCCTTTGAGCTGATATGGATACATCATTTGGGGGGCGGGTATGCTGGAACCAACATTCCTTACCACCCTCCCTGGAAGCTCCCTGTCCCCCAACCTGGTCTTCCTCCTCCTCCCCCAGGGCCTGGTGGCCATCCCGGTGTCCATCTTCTACAGTGGGCCACATCAGATGGATTTTGACCACTACATCCGCTTCTGTTTTGTGAAGGTAAGGGAAGAAGGGAAGGCTGTGGGGCGGGGGGGAGAACCTGCCTCAGCAGGCTACAAGGTGGGAAAGAGGAAGGACTGATGTGTGTCTGTACAGAATGAAGGCACACTCCGGGCCATGGATGAGAAGCTGCAGAACTGGAAGGCAGAGCTCAAGCCCTAGTGCCACCTCTCTGGTACCTGGCTTCAACCTGGTTCTAACCAGTCTGGCACTGGAGGACGGGACTTGGGATGTCAGGGAGGAGCTCCCCTTTTTCAGGAGACTTAGGCGTCCCCTCCCGAAGTGCCTCACTCCTGAGTCAGAGTTGAAGGGGGCCTCACTTTAGCCTCCTCCTATCACTCTCTTTAATAAGTTGTAGGGTTGCCTCTTTTGGGTGTTCAGCCATGGCTGGGACAGAAAGGGCAGAGTATCAGGCCTGAATCCCCAGCCCTGTCCCTGTCCTGGTCCCAGAGTTGCTCAGGGTCCTCTCCACCTCTCCTTATCTTGTCTGGTCCTCAGGGTGCTGGCCTCAGGATTGAGTTCTTTTATCCATAATAAAGGCTTAAGTTATTGAAACTCTGGATGGCTGTCTATCTCTATTTCATCAATTGGGCCTTGGTCAGAATGGGAGAGACTTCAAGAGTCACTGGGCTCATGAATGGGATCTCCAATAGGAGATGGGAGTGCCCACTACAGGAGCCCTCTACAGGTGCTGGCTGGCTGGCTGGGCTGGGCTTCAGCCAGCATTCTCTTCCATTGGGAAGCCCCAGGGGAGGGGTCTCAGGAGGAAGGGAGGAAAGGGTACAAGGCCACTCTGCAAAAGCCAGAAGTGTGTGTTCTGTTGGAGAGCCAGGGCAGCCCCTGAATGCATTGGTGGTCCTATGTTCAATCCAGGGAGCTAATGGAACACTCAGTGTAATTTAAAAAATATATATATTTGGTCATTGCTGGTAAAAAAGAAAAAAAAACAAAACTCATGTGTGGAAATTCTTGAGTGCTGGGAGTATTTTTGGTATTTGGCCAAGCATAGTGGCTCATGCCTACAATCCTAGCTACTCAGGAGGCTAAGATCTGAGGGTGGTGGTTTGAAACCATCCCAGATAGGAAATTCCAAGAGACTTATCTCCAATTAACCACCAAAAAGTGGGAAGTAGAGCTTAAGTGGTAGAGTGCCAGCCTTGAGCAAAAATGCTGAGACAGAACACAGGCCCTGAGTTCAAGCCCCAGAACTGGTGCATGTGGCTGGGAAGGTGGCTCAGTGGTAGAGCGCTTGCCTTGCAATGCATGAGGCCCTGGGTTTGATTCCCCAGCACCACATAAGCAAAGAGAAAAAAGCCGGAAGTGGCACTGTGGCTCAAGTGGTAGAGTGCTAGCCTTGAGCTGAAGAGCTGAGGGACAGTGCCCAGGCCCAGAGTTCAGGCCCCACAACCGGTCCCAAAAATAAATAAATAAATAAAGTATTTATATATTAGCCGGGCGCTGGTGGCTCACACCTGTAATCCTAGCTACTCAGGAGGCTGAGATCTGAGGATCGCGGTTCAAAGCCAGCCCGGGCAGGAGAGACCGTGAGACTCCTATCTCCAATAAAACCACCAGAAAAACCGAAAGTGGCGCTGTAGCTCAAGTGGAAGAGTGCTCGCCTTGAGCTGAAGAGCTGAGGGACAGCGCCCAGGCCCAGAGTTCAAGCCCCACGGCTGACAAAAAAAAAAGAACTGGTGCATGTGCACACACACGCACGCATGTACACACACACACACACACACACACACACACATACACGAGATACTTTGTACCTGGAATTAAAAAATCAGAACTTTTCAGCCAGACCTGCTTCACTTCTTCCTTAAAGAAAGGAGGTACTAGACTGAATAACAAACCTAAATTTTGTGGGGGAGAGGGTGCCAGGTGTAGGTAGAGGGTGATATTTAAACTCAGTCTAGAGCTTCCTTGGCTTGCATAATCAGTAAGCACTCTACCACTTGAGCTATATCACCTCCAGCCTGGCTTTTTACTGGTTGTTTTAGAGGCAGAGTTTCACAGACTTTTCTGCCCATGCTGGTCTTGAACCTCAATCTTCCTATCTGAGTCACCTAAGAAGCTAGAATTATGTGTGTGCCCCTGGTGCCCAGCAACACCTTTTTGTTGTGGTTGTTGGCCTTGAGGCTTGAACTCTGGGCCTGAGCGCTGTCTCTCAGCTCTTCAGCTCAAGGCTGGAGCTCTACCACTTGAGCCACAGCGCCACTCGTTTTTCTGGAGGTTTATTGGAGATAAGAGTCTCTCAAACTTTCCTGCTTGTGCTGGCTTTGAACCATGATCCTCAGATTGCTGAGTAGCTAGGATTACAGGCATGAGCCACCAGTGCCTGGCTAGAGATAATTAAAAAAAAAAAAACAAAATCAGCAGTTGCCTGTGCTAAAGCGGGATGAGAAATGAATGACAAGATTTACAGGATTTGGGGCAATGAAATTACATCTTCAGTGTTTACTGCAATGGTGGATACATGACTCTGAAGTTAGTCCAAATCCATAAAAAGGAACAACCCAAAGCGAACCCTAGCTGGTGCCATGGCTCACACCTGTCATCCTAGCTGCCCACCAGGCTGTAAGTCTGTAAGACTCCCCTCCCCTTTTTTTTTTGTCGGTTGTGGGATTTGAACTCGGCCTGGGAGCTGTCCCTCAGCTCTTCACCTCAAGGCTAGTGCTCTACCACTTGAGCCAAGAGCCACTTCTGTCTTTTTCTGCTTACATGGTGCTGAGGAATCGAACTCAGGGTCTCATGCGTGCAAGGCAAGCGCTCTACCACTGAGCCACCTTCCCAGCCCCACTTCCGGTTTTCTGGTGGTTTATTAGAGATAAGAGTCTCACGGCCTTTCCTGCCCGGGCTGGCTTTGAACCCTGATCCTCAGATCTCAGCCTCCTGGATAGCTAGGATTACAGGCGTAAGCCACTGGCGCCCGGCCTGTATGACTCTTATGTCCATCAAAAAGACAGAAGTGGAACTGTGGCTCACGTGGTGGAGCATCAGCTTTGAGTTCGAGCCCTAGGACGGGTACGAAAAAAATAAATAAAAGGGCGCTGAGCGAGATGTGAGCGCGGCGCCGGCTCCAACCAGGAGAGCGGCAGCCGAGGGTCCCGGCCACGCTGCGAGGCCGCGGGCTGCCCCGAGGCGCCGCGCCGTCCAATCCCAAGGCAGATTGGCGCCCAGACCACGCCCCCGCAAGCCACTGGGCCTCCGATTGGACGAATTTGGAGGGTGTGGCCGAAAGGTAAGGGTCTGATTGGCAAGGGCGTGGCCTAAGTCGCTCAGCGGAACATGGCGGATCGCGGGAGGAAGCGGCCCTGCGGCCCGGTAGGTGGCGGCGGGTCGGGTTCTAGCGGCTCCGGGGCTAAGGTGAGAGCGAGCGCCGTGGGGCCGGGGCGGGCGCCTCCCGCCGCCCTCCTCCCGCCGCCCGCGCGCTGCTCAGCCGAGTGCCGAGTCTCCCAGGCTGGGCGCCGCGTGCTCCCCGCCGGCACCCCGGGCAGGGCTCACCCCGGGCAGGGCTCACCCCGGGCAGGGCTCACCCCGGGCAGGGCTCACCCCGGGCAGGGCCCCTCCGGGTGGTTCTTTGACCTGGGACCCTGCTCGCAATCACGAGATCTTTCGTAGCGACCGTGCCTCAGTTCCTTCTCTTGGTGACGCACTCAGCAATTATTGCTCACAGTGTGCCTGGCCTGATCCCGGTGTTTGGGGTGGCAGTGTTCAGGGGTTCCCTGGCTTCCCTCTGTCTCGGTTTAGAGGGAGCAGCAAGCGTCCTCCCCGCACAGATGTCGCCTTTCAGCCCCACAACCCTCCCCCCCCCACCGTGGGGATGATACTGGGGTTTGAACTCAGAGCCACACTTGCTAGACGGGCTCTCTACCACTTGAACCACACCTCCAGCACCTTTTGTTGTTCGTTATTTTCAGATACGATCTTCTACTTTTGACTGGCTATGTCTCCCTCGTAGCTGGGGTATTACAGGTGTGGGCCATCACATTCAGCCTTCAGTGCCTCCCCCACCCCTTTGATAGGACTGCCATTTGAACTCAAAGCTTCAGATTTGCTAGGCGAGGACTTTAGCATTTGAGAGGAGTTTCCCAGCCCCTCATCTTAATCCTGCTCCTTTTCCTTCTCCAGGGTGAACATGGCCAAAGGGTTGAATGGCGAAAATGGAAGCAACAGAGTAAGTAAGGGGTAAGAGAGCGTCTGTGCCACCTGGCCTGAGGACCACTCCAGCAGTGGGAAGGGACACAGGGCCGGAGGGGGGTGGCGGAGGGAGTTCTGTCTGCTCATCCCTAGCCTCCCTGAGCCGAGGATGACTCACTGACTCACTGAGAGGGAACTATGCCCTCACTACTTCCAACTCCCTCTGTCCCCATCGGTCAGGGTGTTTGTTCTCTTGTTCAGAGAAAGAAGAGAAAAAGAAATGGAAGGACCTTAAGATGACCAAAAAGCTTGAAAAGCAGCGAGCACAAGAGGAGCAGACCAAGCGGCAGAAGGAGGAAGAAGAGGCAGCTGCCCAGAGGAAGGACCAGGGTACAAGGCTGGGTCTTGGGAGGCGTATGGGTTATTGCCTGAGCAACTGTCTTGTCTGGAGGCAGGGAACAGAATGTCATCTATAAAAGCCCTTAGGGACCAGTGGGTTCACACATTGTGACCTGATAAACTGAGGCCCAGAAAACCTACTGGTCCTAAACTTCTACTTAAGGAGATTCAAGCATGTGGAGATTAAGTTGCTGGGTACTGATGACAAATGCTTATAATCCTTGCTACTCAGGCTGAGATCTGAATATCAAGGTTCAAAGCCAGCCCAAAGTCTGTGAAACTTTTTTTTTTTTAACATTTCTTTAAGTAGCTGTACAAAGAAGTTCCCATTCTACAAAACAATATATGAGTACAAAGTGTCTGACAACATTATCACCCATCTCTCTTATCTCTGGTTAACCAGCAAAAAGTTAGAAATGAAGATGCGGCTCAAGTGCTGAGTGCCAGCCTTGAGCAAAAAAGCCAAGTTAGAGTGTGAGGCCCTGAGTTCAAGCTCTAGTACTTTATATATACTTTATACCTCTAGAACTTTTTTTTTTCCTTTCCTACCTCCTTCTCCCTACTCCCCCACCCCCTAGTCCTAGCAAGAAAACTAGGACACTATTTTTTGTTATTCCTGAGTCTTGAACTCGGGGCTTGGGTGCTGTCCCTCAGCTCTTCAGCTCAAGAGTAGCACCCTACCACCTGAGCCACAGCACCACTTCTGGCTTTTTCTGTTTATGTGGTGCTGAAGATTGAACCCAGGACTTCATGCATTCTAGTCAAGAACTCTACCACTAAGCCACATTCCCAGCCTATCCTTGAGCTTCTTTTGCTCAAGGCTAGTTAGTGCCCTACTACTTAAGCCACAGTGCTACTTCTGCGTTTGTCTGAGTAGTTTATTGGTGAGTCTCATAGAAAGCTGGGTGCCAGTGGCTCATGCCTGTAATACTAGCTACTCAGAGGCTGAGTTCTGAAGATTGTACTTCAAAGCCAGCCCAGAGGTGGCACTGTGGCTCAAGCCTTGAGCTAAAGAGCTCTGACAGCGTCCAGGCCCAGAGTTCAAGCCCCACGACCAACAACAACAAAATCTATCATTGGAGTGCTGGTGGCTCATAGCTACTCAGGAGGCTAAGATCTAAGATTTAAAGCCAGCTAGGGAAGGAAAGTACAGGAGACTTTTTTGTCCGTCATGGGGCTTGAACTCTGGGCTTAAACACTGTCCCTCAGCAATTCAGCTCAAGGCTAGCACTCTACCATTTGAGCCACTGTGCCACTTCTTGTTTTCTGAGTGGTTTGTTGGAGACGAGAGTCTCACAGACTTTCCTGCCAGGGCTGGATTTGAACCATGATCCTCAGATCTCAGCCTCCTGAGTAGCTAGGATTACAGGCATGAGCCACCAGTGGTCAGCCCAAGAGACTCTTACTTCCAATTAACTACCAGAAAGGCAGAAGTGGTATTGTAATTCAAAGTGATAGAGCTTTAGCCTTGAGTGAAAAAGCTCAGGGAAAGTGCCCAGGCCTTGAGTTCAAGCCCCACAAGTGACAAAAAAAAAGTCTCATAGACTTTCCTGCCCAGGCTGGCTTCAAACCTCAATCCTCAAATCTCAGCCTCCTGAGTAGCTAGGATTATAGACACGAGACACCCAGTTACCTTCATTTCCTAAATGGTGGTAAGGATGGAACTCTGGGCCTCATGAATGTTTGGAGTACACTTGAGTACACTTCTAGCTCTTGCCTAAAGTAATTCAGCTATGACTGGTTGAATCAACAGACGTAGAACCCATGGAGATGAGCCTGCTGTGTCATGTGCGCATACGTAAAGCTTATTGATACTAGCTCCTTATTATTCCCACCTGGCTTCTGGAGAATAAGGCAGGGAGAAAGCCAGAGGAGGTGGACTGAACCCTTGGCTTTTACCCACTTCCTGGCCTGCCCCTGCTCAGAGACCACCGTGTCCATTTTCCCCTTGGAGAAATTGAGACCCAGGGAAGGGAAGTGGATTTGTTTTGCTTATCTTAGAATCTCTCCCAGTTGGTAAATCTGTGACCCAGGGACTGAGGAGGCGGAGGAGGGTGGAGTCCTGGCTCACCTTAACCCAGAGCACTTGCCCTGCTCAGGACGGCCCTACACCCTGAGTGTCGCCCTGCCGGGCTCCATCTTGGACAATGCCCAGTCACCGGAGCTTCGCACCTACCTGGCTGGCCAGATCGCCAGAGCTTGTGCCATCTTCTGTGTGGACGAGATTGTGGTGTTTGATGAGGAAGGCCAAGATGCCAAGTAAGGACCTACCTCCAGGGTACTGGGGCTCAGGGAGGAGGAGGAGCTGCCAGGGTTGGCTGGCTTCATACTGTGGTGGAAGACAGGAAGGTGATATAGGGGTCAGACTGGGCGGGGCAACTCTTGAAGGGGATTATAATTCCGATTTTTCCCCCCTTTTTTGTGTATACTGGTACTAGGGTTTAAATTCAGCTCAAGCTCTTTTTTTTTTTTTTTTTTTTTTGGTCCGGTCGTGGTCTGGTCTGGGTCTGGGCACTATCCCTCAGCTCTTCAGCTCAAGGCTAGCGCTCTACCACTTGAGCCACAGCGCCACTTCCGGCTTTTTTCTTTTTGCTTATGTGGTGCTGAGGAATCAAACCCAGGGCCTCAGGCATGCAAAGCAAGCGCTCTACCACTGAGCCACCTTCCCAGCCCCTCAAGCTCTTTTTACTCAAGGCATGGTGCTCTGCCACTTGAGCCACAGCTCCACTTCTAGCTTTTTGGTCATTAATTGGAGATACGGGTCTCAGGGACATTTCTTCCTGAGCTGCTTTGAACTGTGATCTTCTGATTTCAGTTTCCTAGTAGCTAGGATTACACGTGTGAGCCTCTAGCACCTAGCTCTAAACTCAGGCTTTTGCCCATACCAGAACACATTCCGTACTACTATACTGAGCTGCATTCCCAGGTAGCGGGTTGGATCTTGAGCCCTGTCTTTCTGTCTCCAGGACCGTGGAAGGGGAATTCAAGGGGGTCGGCAAGAAGGGGCAGGCGTGTGTACAGCTGGCTCGCATCCTGCAGTACCTCGAGTGTCCACAGTAAGGCAGTGACTTCCCTTGGTGTGCGGGAGGGCTGACAGCTAGGAGGAGGCCTTCCTGGGGACCTGCTAAGAACCACATTCCCTTTTGGTGTGTGCTGTTCCTGGGGCTTGAACTCAGGGCCTAGGTGCTGTCCCTTAGTTTTTTCACTCAAGGCTGGCACTGTACCATTTTAGTCAGAGCTTCACTTCTGGCTTTTTGGTGGTTAATTGTAGATGAGTGTCATGGACTCTCCTGCCAGGGTTGGCTTCAAACTGTGATCCACAGATCTCAGCCTCCTGAGTAGATAAGATTACAGGCCCGGGCCACTAGTGCCCAGCTAAGAGCCACATTCTTTACTAGGTACCTGAGAAAGGCGTTTTTCCCTAAGCACCAGGATCTACAGTTTGCAGGTATGGCTGGTGGCTGGTCACCTGGACCCCTGTGTTCTCTGGACTGTCCCCAGACATGGAGAAATCGTCCAGTCCCCATTCACTGTCCATGTGGGAGAGCGGGTCTAAGGAGGAAGCCTGAGCTTGGAGTCAAGCAGAAGGTCTGTGACCCATGGTTCCCATGGCTCTTCTCGCCCCCTACCTCCTAGGGCTTCTCAACCCCCTGGACAGCCCCCACCACATGCGCCAGGATGAGGAATCAGAGTTCCGTGAGGGCGTCGTGGTGGACCGGCCCACCCGGCTAGGCCATGGTTCCTTTGTCAACTGCGGCATGAAGAAGGTAGGAGTGGGAGGTATGCTGTGGTGTACCTCAGTCACGGACGCTCGGCAGCTACAGAGGGCAGGCAAGGGCATCTGGGTAGGGACACCTACACCCTGGACCAGCCTGTAAAATGAAAAACTCTATTGATGCAAATTTAGGCCTGAAAAGTGCCAAATACAGGACTCAAGAAATGAAGCCAAGCTGGGTGTCGGTGGCTCAAACCTATAATCCTAGCTACTCAGGAGGCTGAGATCTGAGGATCATGGTTCAAAGTCAGCCCAGGCAGAGAGGTCCATGAGCCTCTTATCTCCAATAAACCACAGAAAACCGGAAGTGGCGCTGTGGCTCAAGTGGTAGAGCGCTTGCCTTGAGCTGAAGAGCTGAGGGACAGCTCAGTCCCAGAGTTCAAGCCTCACAACCAACCAAAAAAAAAAAAAATTAAAAGCCAGGTGCCAGTGGCTCATGCCTGTAATCCTAGTTACTCAGAAGGCTGAGATCTGAGGATCACGGTTCAAAGTGAGCCTGGGCTGGAAAGTCCGTGAGCTCTTATCCCCAATAAACCACTAGAAAACTGGAAGTGGCGCTATGGCTCAAGTGGTAGAGTGCTCACCTTGAGCTGAAGAGTGCAGGGACAGCACCCAAGCCCAGAGTTCAAGCCCCACGACCGACCAAAAAAAAAAAAATATTAAGCCAGACAGGTGCCAGTATCTCACACTTGTAATCCTAGCTCCTTAGAAGGCTGAGATGCTGAGGATATTACAACGAAGCCATCCTGGGCTGAGAAGTCCTGGAGATTCCATCTCCAGAATGACTAGCAAAAAGCAGGGATGGAGCTGTGGCTTAAATGGTAGATGGCCATCTGAATAAGCAAGCCAAGAGACTAAGCCATAGGCTGGGGGTATCACTCAGTAGTAGAGAGCTGTCCTTTCTCATGGTCAAAATGAATCTAGACTGTGAATAACCAGTTAAAAATCACCCAGGTACCTCTCCACGTTGCTGTAGAGCCAGGCTGGAGACTGGAGTATTAATTTACTGTTTACTCTCAAGTTTTTGATGGAGACAGAAACACTTAATTATGTGAGATACCTCCTCAAAAAGGGCACTGGTGACTAGCACCTATAATCCTAGTAACTTGGGAGGCAGAGATTGGGAGGATAGTGCTTTGAGGCCAGCCCAGGCAAAAAGACATTTGTGAGACTTCATCTCAAGCAATATCCAGACATAGTGGCATGCATCTGTCATCGCAGCTACAGAGGAAGCATGATGGCTGGGCCCATTATGCAGCCCAGTGTCGCGGGGATGGACACAGGTCCAGCCTACTCTAGCCTCAGCATAAAGGGAGACCTACCTACATTGTGCTCAAGTGTAAGTTGCCACAGCATGCCATGCAGCCACAGCTCCACGCCCATCTTTTTTGCTGGTTAATTTCTTGCCTGGGCTGGCTTCGAACTGTGATCCTCAGATCTCAGACTCCTGAGGCTGAGGCAAGGATTATAGGCATCAAACACCAGTGCCTGTCTTGTGTTGGTGGTTGTACGTGAATGGTCCCCTGTGAGTAGTCTGGGACCGGGTGGAGGAGGGGGGTTGGTAGGTAGACCTGGACTCCTCAGATCTCTTGCTAGTCCTGCAGAGACCACAGTTCGACCCATTTCCTCTGGCTTCTTCCCAGGAGGTGAAGATTGATAAGAACCTGGAGCCTGGGCTTCGCGTAACCGTGAGATTGGACCAGAAACAGCTCCCAGGTACCTGGAAGCTTCCCAGACTCTCTGGTATCCTAGCCAGAACAAGGGTTCAAATCCTCCTCCTCCTTCTTCCCTGTCCCCTGCCTCACCTACAGTGTGTCCTCCCTCCAGAATGCAAGACCTACCGGGGAACAGTTGTGTCTTCGCAGGACCCCCGCACCAAGGCCGGTCTCTATTGGGGCTACACCGTCCGACTGGCCTCCTGCCTCAGTAAGGATGGCCCCCATACCTCTAGCTGGTACTCCACTTTTATTTTGTCTGCTGTGGGGCTTGAACTTGGGGCTTGGGCCGTACCTCTATCTGGGAGGCAGCAGGGCACCTTGCTGGACACAGAAGTCATCCCAGGGTCCTGGGCTTATCCCCAGAGGTTGTCCTCTGGGCCTGTCTCTGAGTGCGCTGCTGTTAGGTGCATCCGAAGAGGAGGATCATGGGTGGGTAATTGGTAGTGGACCTGCATTTCCTGCACCATCTCCTGCCTACCCCATAACCCCACTGGGTCCAGCCCTCAGCCTCCCATGAACAGTGAAGGGCCTGGCTGTGCCCCCCCCCTGCCCCGCAGGAATGCTGGGTACACATAGCCAGAGTGGGGTCCCACTGTGCTGCTCCCCCCCATCAAGGTGCTGTGTTCACCGAGTCACCCTTCCAGGATGGCTACGACCTGACCATCGGGACGTCAGAGCGAGGCTCTGATGTGGCCTCCGCCCAGCTGCCCAGCTTCAGGTAGGTGCCACCTGGCACGGAGGCCAGGGAGGAAGTGCACAGGCTGGACCTGTGTGTGGGGCGCTGCCACCAGGGGCCTTTTCAGGGGTCGGGTGGGGCTCTGAGAAGTCTGTGACCCTCCCCTGTGTGCCAGGCATGCACTAGTGGTTTTCGGGGGTCTGCAAGGACTAGAAACTGGAGTGGATGCTGACCCCAACCTGGACGTGGTGGAACCCAGTGTCCTCTTTGACCTGTATGTCAACACGTGTCCTGGCCAGGGCAGCCGCACCATCCGCACTGAGGTGAGCCCCGCTGCACCCCACTGCTGTACCAGTTCCCATGGGCTGGGGGTAGGGGGCAGAGGGGACAACGACACAGTTGTGAGTCCTGGGTTATGGACCTATGCTCCCAGGCTCAGGGACCCAGGTGACCTGCCCGCTCCGGCCCAGGGCCTTTGTCCCCTCAGCATGCCAAGTTCCTCAGTGCCCCGGCTTCTGCCACCTCCTCGTGTGTGGGCATGGCGGCTCTCCCCTCGAGCCCACTGTGTACTGTCCTGGGGAACAGTGTGCCCTGAGATCAGGGAGCCCCGACCTGTGTGCCTAAGGTCTACAGGGCTCTGACCCTGCCACTGCTCTGGCTCCATTGCTCTTGTCTGCCTCAGACATGGTGACCACATAGTGACCGCCCCGATCTATCTCTTCCTGGAGGCCAAGTGCTGAGCTTGGGGACCAAGAACTCCTGCGCACCATCTTGCCCACCTGGCCCTCAGTGGGCATCAGTACCGGCACCCCCATTTGACAGAAGACAGAGCAGTAGACTGTCTTCTCACCAGCATAAACATGGCCTTTGACCTTGGGCTATGGAAGCAGGCAGGAGCTGGGCAACTAGACGCCAGCCTCCCAGGCCGCAGCCCGGTGTGTGCCTCTCTTCCAGGAAGCCATCCTCATCTCCCTGGCCACCCTGCAACCTGGCCTCACACAGGCCGGTGCCCGGCCCTCCTGAAGGCTGTGTGTCATCAGGACACAGATGAAGCGGCAGTGAAAGCAGATTCCCCTGTCACCTGGGACAGACAGCCGAGCTTGTCTCCAAAAATAACCAGCTTTACTGTGACCCGCCCGACACCCCCGTCTCTCAGCTGCTGCCCTCACTTGCTGCCGGCTGTGATGGCCTTGAGGCTCCCAGCTCTGGCCAGGATGTTGGGCACAAAGAGCAGCCCCGAGGCCCGCTCGATGCTCTCGATGGGCACCAGGAAGCGCTCCAGTGGGAGAGTCTCATCCACAGGGGCATTGGGCATCACGTAGGAGTGCAGCTCGATTTGCCCGCCTGCTGCCTCCAGGATCAGCACCTTGAAGAAGTGTGTGGGCACCGCCACGTGGTTCTTGCCAATCACCTGGTACTTCACATAGGACTTTCCGTCGGCCTCCGTCCTGTGAGCAGACAGGCACGCTTGGCCAGGGGTTCTGGTTGTGCCCAAGGCTACCTCCTCCAGGAAGCCTGGAGACTGCTCCCTCAGGAGGCTTCTATGCCCTTCCTTGAGGCTGAGAACCCTGCAGGGTTCTCATGGGTCAGCCAGAATGGGAGGTAATAAACACTGCTGGAAGAGTTGGGTCTCTTGTTTTCACACCCACCCCTGCAGGTGGAGGTGGTGTACCAGGCGGGCAAGGGCTGTGACAGCCACATGGCAGGCAGGTGCCAGGCAAAAGGCTTCTGGTTTCCCCTTAGCATTTGCCTCCATTGCATTTATGGCACCCCAGATGCCACCTTGGCTTGCCTGTGCTAAGGCCTTGCCATGCATCCTGCTGAGTGAGTGTCTCCAGGAACAGTCCCAGGCCTTATCCCCCTTTTTACAGAGCACATAGAGGTCATTTGCGCATGGCTCCCAGGGACTAGACAGTAAGTCCTGGGTTCCACGCTGCCTCACAGGGCCTGGTCTCTGCAGACCAGAAAAATGAGTGATGCCGACAGTCCCCTAGTCTCTGGCGGGCTCAGGTGGGGGAAGTGCTCCACACAGCAGGGTGGGAAGGTAAGAGCCTGAGGCATGGGGGACCTATCAAGGGACAACACAGGACTGGGTGAAAGATGTAGGGCTTGGTGTACCAGGGCAGGGCAGAGATGGGCAAGGAAGACACCCTAAGATCTTTATAGACATCAAAAGGGGAAACCTGAGCTGGGCGCAGACAGCTCATGCCTGTAATCTTAGCTACCCAGGAGGCTGAGAATCATGGTTCTAAGCCAATGAGGAAGAAAAATCATTGTGAGACATCTTGAATTAACCACTCAAAAACTGGAAGTGGCACTGTGGCTCAGTTGGTAGAATGCTAGCCTTGAGCTTGAACACAGAGGATAAGGGATAGCATCCAAGCCCTGAGTTCAAGCTCAACTGACCAAAAGAAAGAGGGGAGGGGGACCCATATTACAGGACCCATACCTGTAATACTAAAGGAGGCTGAGACCTGAAGGATTGGATTTGGAAGCCACCAAAGTCTGGAGACTCCATCTCCAATTAGCAAGTAAAAAGCAAGACTGGAGGCATGGCAAAATAGATCCTGACTTACTCAGTACCCATCAAAAAGAGGAACTTGACAGAACTTGCCAGAAGCCAGATGGGATGACCCAGAGCCTATCACTAAGTCGGCCGTCTGGTTGCCGCCTCACCTGGGCAGGAAGAGTGGCCCTGTGCAGACATAGACGTTTTGGTAGGTGCGAGCCAGGCTGCGGCTGTACTTCTCCAGGTTGTTCCAGGCGTTCTGGTTGAGGTGAGGCACCTGGTGGGGGAAGTTGGTGCTCAGGGGAACCATACCTGGGACCCCCTCTCCCATCCACCCCAGCTGCCCCACGCCTTGTGGGGTGGACAAGCGTCTGGAGGACACCAATTCAAGAAAGGGGCCACTCCCAGACCTGATGGCCATGAGGGTGAAGCCTGAGCAGGCCTGGCTTGAGTGCCACCCACCCCTGTCATGGGTCCCTCCTGCACCCCACCAGTCTCTCAGCTCAAAGGAAGGGGCAGAGCCCCCTGGCTATTCAGAGAGGCTGGGCTATACCTAACCTTGAGAGGGGTCATGCCAGAGCCCCACTCGTTTCCACCCAGAGGTGCCAGAACCCTGCTGGGAAGCTGGCTAGAGTGAGGACAGCATGTCCGGAGTGCAGTGACTGGCACCAATAGCTAGCCAGTGTGCGGATCGATTTCCTGGCAGCTGCTTGCAGGCAGTGCAGACAAAGGCTAAAAGCTTGACTCTACACAGCAGGGCTCTTCAGCTGCGTGACTCTGGGCCAGCGACTGGGCCTCTCCCAGCCAAATTCCCACTTTATAACTAATGATGGGCCGAAAGCGGCGCGGTGTGTCCACGGCCACGCCGGAAGGGACAGGTGAGACAGCCCTGACCCCGTTCCACGACACGAAATGAGACCGTGGATGCGCCCGGGGCTCCCCTGCCGCCGGGGACGCGCGCCGTCCCGGGCCGGGCCGGCCGCGGTGCGCCTCCCGGGAGCTGCCCGGGGCCGCACGTGCCGGGGCTCGAGGGAGCCCCGCGATCGGCCGCCAGGAGCGGGGCCCGGCGCTACCTGGGGCGCGACGTTGCTCAGGTAGAAGGTGTCGTCCATGGCCTTCTGGCTCCAGCGGTGGTTGGCGGCCGCGGCGAGGTGGCCGCGGTCGAAGCCGCTGCCGCGGTAGTCGGCGTTGGTGGCGCGGTGGTAGGCGTGCACGGAGTCGTCCTCGCGGAAGTCGCACTGGCGGCGGTCGCCGTCGCCGCGGAGCCGCTCGGGCCGCAGCTGCTCGATCACCCAGAGCGCGCCGCGGGTGCGCGGGTCGTAGCACAGCGCGTACGACTCGCGGCTCTTGAGCTGCGCCACGCCGGGCAGCCCGTACTTGGCGAGCTCGGCCGCGCCGCGGCCCCCGGTTCCCGCCGGCCCCCCGGGCAGGGCAGGCAGCTCGGCCGCCGCCGCCACGGGCAGCACGGGCAGCCGAGCCAGCAGCCCCGGGCCCGCCCGCGTGTCCGCCCGCCCCCGCCGCCAGCGCTCGGCGGCCGCGCCCAGACCCGCGCCCAGGGCCAACGCCAGGCCGGTGCGCAGCGCGCCCATGGCCCGGCCCGGGGGAGCGAGGCCCAGCGCGGAACTGAGCAGAGGAGCCCGAGGAGGGCGGGATGCCCGGCCGCCTTCCGCTCGAAAGCGCGCACGGGAGCTAGGGCTCAGGCTCGGGAAGGCTTGGACTAGAACCGGGCGCCGGTCCCATTGCCCTTACTTTGCCCTTCTGAAACCCGGACCTGGAAAGGCGTGGCACCACGGCCTCAACTGCTGATTGGCCGATGACAGGCCTGGCCCCGCCTATCCATGCGCCTCCTGGGCCAAACCCGAACGTTGCGCATGCGCAAAACTTCCGGTCGCAAAATGCTGTCCAAGTGTCAAGCGCTTTGAGCCTTTGAGCGCGGCTTCATTTAATCCTCAAAATAGCTCCGAGGGAGCTTCCAGTTGCCTAAACGGGACGAGGGGTCCGGTTTGCCAGACCCCCGTCTATCCTGCCAACCACAAAATAAGCAATAACTTCTAGATCAGCAATGGTTTTCATATTTCATATAGATGCTAACTGCTGGCTGAAACAGAAACTTGTTCTGTATATGTGTAAGTGTATATATGTATATATATATACACACATACACATACAGAACAGGCCTTGAGTTCCACACGACTAACAAAAAAATAAAAAATTAAAGTCATGTGCAAGAGTGCACATCTGTAATCCCAGCACTTGGAAGGCTGAAATAAAAATCATTATATATAGACTATATATAATCTGTATATAGAGATCAGTGTAGTTATCTTAACACACACATGCATGCAGCATACACACACATGTGCACACATTCATACCCAGAGAATTCAGACACAATGCAAACAATAGTGAAAATGATAGGAAAAATCTATTAGGAAGGAATATATCAGTCTAGTCACTAGACCCTGTAGCAAACTAGAGACACGAAGCCTGGAGAAAGATTAACTGGCAGATGCCATGGGAAAGGGATACTTTTACCTTCAGCCATCTTTGGGGTACAGACTTAAGTGTTAGGTTTAAATAGAGGAGTAATTAGGAACTGGGGATGAAAGGGATGCATAGCGTTCCAGTTCCAGGTGTGGCCTGGCTGGTCATTCATTACCTGAGCTCTGGTTCTCCTGGTTCAAAAGTTATGGCTGTTATTACTTGAGGGAGACAAATTATTACTCTGGTTCCAAAATGTACCCTTATCTTTATAGGTGATTATCTTCATTTGGGAGTGGTCTGTCCTGCAAAACTGTTGGTGTGTGTGTGTGTGTGTAACAAGCTGCAGGCATATGTACCAGTAATGGGACTTGAAGTACACCTGGACAATGTCCCTTAGCTTAAGGCTGAAGCTCTACTACTTGAACCACAGTTCCTTCCAGCTTTTTGGTTGTTAATTAGAGATGAGTCTTGCAGATGCCAGGTGCAGGTGGCTCACACTTGTAATCCTAATCACTCAAGAGACAGAGATCTGAGAATTGTGATTCAAAGTCAGCCAGGACACAAAAGTCTGTTAGACTCTTGTTGGTACTGAAGAATCGAACCCAGGGCCTCATGCATGGTAGGCAAGCACTTTACCAGTAAGCCACACTCCTAGCCCTGTGAAACTCTTATCTCTAATTGACTACCAGGAAACTGGACATGATGCTATGGCTCAAAGTAGTAGAACACTAATTTGACAGCACCCAGGCTCTGAGTTCAAGTTCAACAACCCACAAAAAATCAGTCTCACAGATTTCTCCTGCTTAGGCTGACTTGGAACTGCAATCCTTAGGTCTCAGCCTCCTGGGTAGCTAGAATCACAGGCCTGAGCCAACAGTGCCAGGAGTTTTTGAACTCAAGGACTTGTGTTCCAGATCGGCTTTCCCCCCCACAGCCGGTGCTCTATACTAGAGCCACAGCTCCACTTCCAGTTTTATGCTGGTTGTTTGGAGATGCGAGTTTTGCTGAGCACTAGGGCTCATGTCTATAATCCTAGCTAGAGACTGAGATCTGATGATTGTGGTTTGAAACCAGACCAGGAAGGTTAGTACTAGAGATTCTTTACCTCCAAATACCCATCAAAAATCTGCAAGTGGAGCTGTGGCTCAAGTGAGTGAATACTAGCCCTCAGCAAAACAAAGCACAGGACAGCACCCAGGCCCTGAGTTCAAGCCCCAGGACAGGAACAAAAAGAAAAGACATTTTATCAGATTTTTCTCTGGATTAGAAGGTTATCATGGATGTTTCTGAAATTTTCTTTTTTCTTGTCCGTCATGGGGCCTGAATTCTGCGCCTGGGCGCTGTCCCTCACCTCTTCAACTGTAGACTAGTGCTCTACCACTTGAACCTCAGCCCCACTTTTGCTTTTTTCTGCTTATGTGGTACTGAGGAATCGAACCCAGGGCCTCATGCATACAAGGCAAGTGCTCTACCACTGAGCCACCTTCCCAGCCTGTTTCTGAAATTTTCATGGATTATTATAAATTGATATAATAGTATGGTGTATTTTTTTTTTGGGGGGGGGCTCCAGTCGTGGGCCTGAACTCTGGGCCTGGGTGCTGTCCCTCAGCTCTTCAGCTCAAGGCTAGCGTCCTACCACTTGAGCCACAGCGCCACTTCTGGCTTTTTTTTTTTCTGCTTATGTGGTGCTGAGGAATCAAACCCAGGGCCTCATGCATGCAAGGCAAGCAAGCACTCTACCACTGAGCCACCTTCTCAGCCCTTTTTTTTTTTTGAGATTGAACCTAGGACCTGACTCTAAGTATGGGCTCTACAACTAGAAACACAGCCACAGCCACCCCCCCCTTTTTTTTTCTTTGCAGTACTAGGGTTCTACCAAAGGACCTTACGCTTGCTTAGGCTGATGCTCTACCACTTGAGCTATGTCACCAGCCCAGCTTTTTGTGGTTATTTCGGATATGTATCACAGACTTTTCTGCCTGGGTTGGCTTCAAACCTAAATCCCCAGCCAGACGCTGATGGCTCATGCCTGTAATCCTACTCAGGAGGTTGAGATCTGAGGAACACAGTTCAAAGCTATCCTAGTTTGAATTCAGGGACTGGACAGTCCTTAAGCTCAAGGCTAGCACTCTACCACTTGAGTCACAACTGTTTCCAGCTTTTTGATGGTTAATTAAAGGTTAAGAGTCTCATAGTCTTTCTTGCCCATGCTGGCTTCAATCTGAAATCTTCATATCTCATCCTCCTGAATAGCTAAGGTTATTGGCACCCAGCTCTCTGTATCTACAGATATATCGTAAAGGTTTTTAAATGTGGGCACTGGGGAAAATGGAAAAAGAAAAATGGGCCTAGCATGGTATTATAAGTTCCAGAAGTTTCTAAGCTACAGTGAGGCCCTCCTGGTTTGTTTTTTTTTTCGTCAGTTGTGGGACTTGAACTCTGGGCATGGGCGCTGTCCCTCAGCTCTTCAGCTCAAGGCTAGCACTCTACCACTTGAGCTACAGTACTACTTTCCATTTTCTGGTGGTTTATTGGAGATAAGAGTTTCATGAGTCCGTGAAACATTCCTGCCCAGGCTGGCTTTGAACCACAATCCTCCGATCTCAGCTTCCTGAGTAGCTAGGATTACAGGTGTGAGCCACCGGTGCCCAGCTCCCTTCTGGTTCTTAAACAAATAAAAGGTGGCCATAGCTTGTCAGGCCTCCTTCCTCATCCATAGCCCCCCCCCCCCCCCCCCAACTGCAGACTGGGACTGAACTACAAGTTTAGCAACAAGGTTTTCCTGGCCTTCTTTCAACCTCATCCTGGCTCATTCTCCCATAGGTCAGGATCTCTGGGGTGTCAGCCCATCAGAGCACAAACAGCCATTGCAAAGAACACATGATTTATTAAAGACAACTCATCAACAGCACTGATTCAAAGAACAAAACAGATGAAAAACCTAAAGCAGACTAACATGCTGGCCCTCTGGACGGCGGCCTGCGGGCCTCCCACAGCCCCATCTCTGTGTCTGTAGTCCTGGGGCGGCTTCCCCCATGGAAGCTAACGGCATCCCAACTTCGTAGCCCTCGCTGGAGAAGCTGGAGCAGAATGGAGGGCAGGTTCTGTCCTCAGGCAGCACCCCCAGGGGAGCTCAGCCTAACCAAGACGTGGTCCCTGTGCTTGCAACCTTCACCTCAAGGACAAGGCAAATCAGAAGCAGTGATTCAAGTAGTATAACCTCAGGAAGGAAGGCGGGGAAGGCAAGAGGAATCAGGCATCCTGGGCAGTGTCTGTTGGGTCCCAGGTAGTGGCCCAGGCCTCAGGTATGAAGGGGTCAGGTTCTGGGTTGAGGGTTGACCAGATGGCGGGAGTGTCTGCCCATGGCTAAGGACACCAGCTCTGGTGTTCCCAACACTGCATTCTTGTTCTGTCAGCCAGGATCTGCTGAGAGGGGAGGCCCCCCAGGCTGAGGATGGGCTGTAGACCCTGGGAAATAAAACCAGGCACCACCCCCAATCTCCAAAGCACTTGCTAATGTGCAATTCTTAGCCAGGAGTCTGAATAAATAGTAAACAAAACATCCCAGTGCTGTGCTGAGGGCTGACAAAGGCAGGCCATCAAGCCCCAGAAGTGTCTACTCAAAGCCCACACAAAGGCCTGGGGGCAGTGGAGGACCTGCTACCAGCTCAGGAAAGCCTACTGAGGTCCAGCTCCTGCTGGCCAGTGTGAGGTGGTGAGGACCCTTGCTCCATTACCCCCTCAACAAAGGAGAGACAGTGTGGTTAGAAGAACCCATTCCTTGAAGAGCCAAGAGTGCCCAGCGGCACCTGTGCAGGTGCACCTGTCCATTATAATTCCTGGGCAGAGCCAAGCAGAGGTGGCCAAGAATGGGCCAGCACATCTCTCTGCCTTGGTGGAAGTGAGGGGCACCAGGTACAGACATGGTCTCCAGGCACTGACAGGACCCAGGCTAGCTAGCCGGGGTCAGCTATGCCTGGACCTCGGGGGCTCCCCAGGTCCCGCATGCCTGGCCCAGAATGGCCTTAATAACCTTGTTCTCCGAGACACAAAGGCCACTGGGAACGCTCCCAGGAGCCCACGCTCCCTCCGTTCTTACACAGAACCGGCATGGGGAGCAAAGCTTCTCAGGCCACAGCTTTCCGGCAGCTTTTGGTTTCCAAGATTTCTGTCACGGGGAACAGGACCAGGGCCCTCTGGTGACACCCCGAGAATTCTCTCCCAGCCTGGGGAACCTGGGAGTCTCAGGCTGGGGGATGGGAACAGGACGCCAAGGCCAAAGTTGACCTCCAGGAGCCTTGGTGAGCCAGACTCCACCTTCTACCTTCTGGCTTCGTGGGAGCAAAGGGGAGGAGAGTTCAGGAGGCTCAGGATAAGGCACCCCAAGAGAGCAGCGAGTATGGAAGATACAGCAAGAGTAACACTCACACTCTAGAAAGAGGTGGGAGGGACAGAGGTAGAGAGCCAGAGAAGGGGGAGCAGGGACCTACAGGGACCCCAATATCTTTGGGGTCCTCACCCCACCCCTAACACACAAAGACAAGCAGAGACGCCTAGGGGACACACATGCCACTCTCGGTGGGAGGGGCAGAGGGGGGACGTGGGCCTGGCAGTCACTGGGCTCCTTCGGTGTGGCTTCCCCGAAGGGAGGCCTGAGCACCAAGCCCAACGTGGTATCTGGCCCATTTGCCTAGCACACCAGCTGACCAGTGCCCAGAAGGCCGGAAGTAGGAAGAGCAGAGGGGCAGAGGCAGGAGGGACCCCTGCCAGCCCTCCGGTGCCCCAAATGGCACAGCCCGTTTGGGCCCTGGAGCCCTGTTCAACAGCCTGGGAAGATGGCGCACGGCTGAAGGGCAGGGAGGCAGCAGGGCTGCGTGGCTGGGATGAAGCACAGTGCAGTGCCGCCCAGCGGTGTGCCTGGGAGCCAGGCTGAGCCTGCAGCCTCCCCCAGGCTGGTGGTCCTGGAAGCCAGGTGGGGAACTGCCCTCCCCAAGCCAGGCCTCTTGCTGCAAGGCTACTTTGAGTCTTGGAGCTCCTTGGCTTTCTGTAGGATCTGGCAGACGTCCGTGATGGGGTAATCCTGGGCATGGGAAAGGCAATAATACGCCCCTGAGCAGCTCAGCCTTTGCTACCTTGGCCACACCCACTGCTCCCCAGTGGGACCTGTCACCATGCGTGGGCATCAGAGGCAGGGACCATACAACACCAGGCACTGGTCCATCTGCCCCAACCCTGGCACGTCGTTAACCAAGCCAATATTACACCCCAAAGTCTTTCCTGGGCCCAGGACCTCCCTGCTGCAGCCCAAGCCTGGAGTCGTTTAACACTCACCTCAACCACCCTAGGACGGTCACCGAGACTGCCTGGTTTAGAGATCTAGTTAGGGAAATTACTGGCGGCCCACGCTTAGCCAGGCAATGATGAAGCGGGCCTAGAGAGGCCTTGGGCTCAGGTCACATGACATGTGCAGAACAAGGGCACGAGCTCACAGGAGCCCTGGGAGCACATGGCATTCTTAGCTCTGAGCAGGGTTACTGAGGATCTGTGTTCTGGGCATGGTCACCTTATGGAGAGCACATGATTTAGAGGTCAGCCATTACTCAAGGCCACCCAATACTGGAGATCAATGGATGACCAGGATTCAAACCCAGACCCAAACGAGACCTGCCTCAGGGGTCTGGACCCTAGACCCCAGTACACTCTTCTGTTGCTAACTGCAGCTTGCCATGATGGCTGGCACTGGGCGGGGCTTGCCAAGGGTCAGCCTCATGACTGAAGTGGGGATTCCCGCGCATGCCCGTTACCTGCAGGAGCCGCATGTTGACCGTGAAATCCCCTTCCAGGAGCTGCTCCCGGATCAGTCTGAGGAGAACAAAGAGCCCGGGTGCTGGGACCCAGTGCCCTGCGGCCCTCCCACTTCCCCCTCACCACCCCCGGCCCTCTCCAGCCCAGAGAGCCCAGGCCTGTCCACCCCTAGGGCAAAGAGCTTCCTGTCTGGCCAGGCCATGGGTGAACTCACATGAGCATGGCACAGCACACCAGGAGGAGGAAGTCAAAGCGGTTGTCGTCAGCGAAGAGAGAGTCCCAGATGCGGATGACATCGGGCAGCAGGAACTCCTGGGACAGCAGCAGCGTCAGCCAGCGGAAGGCAAAGAACTGGGGCTTGATGTTCTGCTCTTGCTGGAGAGACAGAGGTGGGGTACAGGCTCCCATGCTGGCCGGCTGCCATGACTTTGGGGCAGCCTGCCAGTGAGTGTGGGTCAGAAGCAGGCCAGGTTCCATGTGGAGGATGCAGCACCTGTGGGCCACTGGGCTGCCCAGGGAACGGAGCTGGCGCTGGCTCTGCGGGAGCCTGGCTCAGCCTCCCGCTGGCCAATGATGCCAGAAGCCCTGGGTTCTATCCAAGCTCTGCTGACTTGCAAATGACACCTTGTGTTCTGCTAGAACCCTGTGTAGGTATGATTTGTACGTGGATTCCTAGCTACTGAGGAGGCTGTAATCTGAGGCTCAGTTTGAAGTCTGCTTGGGCAGAAAAGTCTGTCAGACTCTGGCCAAATGCTGGACTTAGGTGGTAAAGGACCCGCGGTTAGTCAAAACGCTGGGTGAAAGTACAAGGCCTTAAGTTCAACCAGCACAAACAATGATGCATTTATTGATTTACTAGAAAGAGAGAAAGCAAGGAAGCACTGTAGACCACGGCCTAGGATTTGGGCACAATGACATCACCAGGCACTTCCTAGAAGTCTGATCTTTTTTGTAGCTTTTTTTTACTGCCCCCAGGGCTGAGGACCGAACCCAGGGCTTTGCACACGCCAGGCGGGCGCCCTTCCGCTGGGCTAAACCCCTAGCCCCAAGTCTGATCTTTTTTAATTTATTTTGTTTTTTTGATTTTGCTGGTACCAGGCTCGAACTCAGGACCTTGCACTCAGTTGGCTCTCTTGCTCACAGCTAGCTAATGGTTGCTAGCACTTGAGCCATGCCTCTAACCTAGTCTCGTGCTCAGGATGTGAAATGTCCCACAGGCACTAATTCTCATCATAGCTGAGCCCTCTGGCCAGCCACAATGAATAGTAACTGAAAAAACAAAATGCTATAAATAGCAAAACGGCATTCTGGATTTAAAAAGCAAGCGTCTATTTTTTCTTTTTTACAAAACAGTTTATACAGAAACATCTATCTTCCGGGCTGGGAAGGTGGCTCAGTGGTAGAGTGCTTGCCTTGCATGCCTGAGGCCCTGGGTTCGGTTCCTCAGCACCACATAAGCAGAAAAAGCCGGAAGTGGTACTGTGGCTCAAGTGGTAGAGCGCTAGCCTTGAGCTGAAGAGCTGAGGGCCAGAGTTCAGGCCCCACAACCAGACCCAAAAAAAAACAACGAACAAACAAACATCTATCTTCCTCTACAGAGCTGTTTTCTGACGTAAACACGGAGTGCCGGGACAGTAACGATTGTGAGCGAAGGTGAACACTGCTCTTATGTGGGACTTGCCAGGCTCACCTCACTCAGTGCCTGTGCCTGGCACAAATGGGCAACACTCTAGACTTCCCCCTCCCCAAAGGTAGGGATGCTGGGTGGCCCAGGCCTGTCTGTGTCCTAGGGTGTGGACCAGCCTGGCACGTGTATCGGCTGGTGTACGCCAGCAGCGGCAGCTCTCCACCTCGCCCTGGCCCCAGCCTGCCGTGCCTCCTGTCCTCTACCCCCTGGCCCCTGCCCCAGGCTGTGGGAGGCCTTACCAGTTTCAGGTAGAGCTCCATGTCCTTCTCCTTCAAGGTGGAGTACACCTTCTCCATCTTGTAGGTGATGCCGCACTGTGAGTCATCCAGGCTCTTGATGAAGTTGTCCCGGATCTCGGCCATGAGGTTGGTGAAGCAGAAGAAGGTGTCCGCCTCGGCGTGCTCTGGGGGAGACGCAGAGGGTGGGCCTGGCGGAGGACAGGAGGCCCTCCCCAGTGCCCCCTCACCCCACCTGCAAGGGTCTCCACGCCTCTCTACTCTCGTCCTTGGCCACCCACAGGTGAGCCCTCAACCTCAACACCTCCGCTCCCTGCGCATCGTGACAAACGTGCACTCAAATAGAAATTACCTTTTGTCTTTTTTTTGTGCCTCTTCTGAGGCTTGAACTCAGGGCCTAACTCCCTTGCCTGGCTTTTTCACTCAAGACTGGCACTCTACCACTGTAGCCACACCTCCACTTCCACCTTTATGGTGGAAAATTGGAGATGTCTCCTAGACTTTTCTGCCTGGACTGGCTTTGAACTCTGATCCTGAGATCTCAACTTTTTTTTTGTTGTTGTTGGTCGTGGGGCCTGAACTCTGGGCCTGGGCACTATCCCTCAGCTCTTCAGCTCAAGGTTAGCACTCTACCATTTGAACCACAGCGTCACTTTTGGCTTTTTCTGCTTATGTGATGCTAAGGAATCGAACCCAGGGCCTCATGCATACAAGGTCAAGCACTCTACCACTAAGCCACCCTCCCAGCCCCCTCAACTTTCTGAGTAGCTAGGATTACAGGTGTGAACCACCAGTGGCAACCTTCATACAGCAATTTCTTTTCTTTTCTTTTTTGGTCCGGTCGTGGGGCCTAAACTCTGGGCCTGGGCGCTGTCCCTCGGCTCTTCAGCTCAAGGCTAGCGCTCTACCACTTGAGCCACAGCACCACTTCCGGCTTTTTTCTTTTTGCTTATGTGGTGCTCAGGAATCGAACCCAGGGCCTTGAGCATGCAAGGCAAGTATTCTACCAATGAGCCACCTTCCCAGCCCCAATACAGCAATTTCTTCTATGTTTTCTAGGTGGCAATTTAAAAATTTTGTCATCCAGCTTCCTGTGCATACATCTCATCTCTTCTACCAGAAATTAAGTGGCGAATATAAAGAGATCAGTATATGGTGTCACTCTAGAAGGCAGAGCTGGATATGAACCAGTCTGACCCCACATCTGGCAGAGGAAGAATGGAGACCTGGGGGGGACAAGACCCACAGTTTCACATGGCCCTGGAAGTTTTTGTCCGGGAGCCAGCAAAGGGGGAAGTAAGTGGTGGGCATGCCTACCTTTCCACTCACTGTTGGGGTCAGTGGCAAAGGTGTAGTAGAGAGGCCCCACGATCTCGTTCATGCCCTGCACGTACGCGATGCCGGGGTTGAGCTTGGCGTAGATGAACAAGATCCGCTCCACCACCTCCCAGTGAGCTTCACAGCCGTTGGGCAGCACTGCGTACTCGTTCAGGGCCGGCGCGGGATTCTTGTGCGGGGAGCTCATCTGGGGAGAAATAGACAGCTTTGCCAGGGAGCACCGAGGGGCATCGAAGTGTGTGCCAAAACCACCATGGGAATAAGCAGGCAAACCTAGAGTCAGGGAGATGCTGCCAGACAGTGGAGCTGGGGTATTATTATTTATGGAACTAAAACCAGAATGTTGCTTTTCCTCTGGACTGAGAGTACGAGGAAGGGGCAAGGAAGAACGTTCTGCATGGTAGAAACATCAGTATCTTGACCAAATGCTAGTTATTTAAATACAACCGTAAGAGGAAAAAAATCTAGATATGTATTTAAAATGTGTGTGTGTGTGTGTGTGTGTGTGCACACGTGCGCGCATGCCAGTCCTGGGGCATGAACTCAAGGCCTGAGCCTTATCCCTGAGCTTTATGCTCAAGGCCAGTGTTCTACTACTTTGAGCCACAGAGACACTTTTTGCTTTCTGGTGATTAATTGGAAATGAGTTTCATAGACTTTAGCCTAGGCTGGCACAGAACTTCAATCACAGATCTCAGCCTGAGTAGTTAGGAGTACAGGCTCGAGTCACAACTACGTGCCTGGCCCTAACCTCATTTTGTTTGAAGGTGGTGCTCTTTCACTTGAGATCTGCTTCTGGTTTTTTTTTTTTTTTTTTTCTGGTTAATTGGAGATAAGTGCCTTACAGACATTCCTGTCTAGGCTGGCATTGAACCACAATCCTCAGACGTCAGCCTCCTAGGTAGCTAGGGTTACAGGTGTGAGCCACTGGCAATCAGCAACATTTTACTTTTTCTTAAATTGCAATCACACTTCAGATTAAAAACCTTCAATATGGGGCTGGCAAAGTGGCTCAGTGGTAGAGTACTTGCCTTGCATGCATGAGGCCCTGGGTTTGATTCCTCAGCACCACATAAGCAGAAAAAGCTGGAGATGGCACTGTGGCTCAAGTGGTAGAGCACCAGCCTTGAGCTGAAGAGCTGAGGGATGGTACCTAGGCCCGGAGTTCAGGGCCCACGACCCACCAAAAAAAAAAAAAAAAAGAACAAACATCATCAATATGTCAAAAACAGACGATGAGCTGAGACATCTCAAAATGTAAAGTGGTAGTGAGGCACTGGTGGCTAACTTCTGTAATCCTAGCTACTGAGGAGGATAGTAACTGAGGCTCACAGTTCAAAGCCAGCCCAGGTAGTAAGGCTGTGAGAATCTCTTCTCCAATTAACCATCAAAAAAAGCTGGAAGTGGAGGTGTGGCTCAAGTGGTAGACAGCAATCAGGCTCTGAGTTTAAGCCTCAGTACTGGCACTTAAAAAAGAAAAAGTAAAATGTTGGAGGCAGAGAAGCAGAACTTCCTGCTGCAAGGAGCAAATCCTGCCTGGTCCTGGTCTGAAATAAAACCATAGCTGCTCCTGCCACAGTGGAGAATGTCCCAGCTGATCTCAATGTGTTGTGGACGGGATACCAGGTGGTGTTCTGGAATGCACCCTCTTAGATGGGCAAGGAGGGGCTGGGAAGTGGCTCAGTGGTAGAGCGCTTGCCTTGCACGCATGAGGCCCTGGGTTCAATTCCTCAGCACCACTTAAGAAAAAAGCCGGAAGTGGCGCTGTGACTCCAGTGGTAGAGTGCTAGCTTTGAGCTGAAGAGCTGAGGGACAGCACCCAGGCCTAGAGTTTAGGCCCCACGACCGGACCCAAAAAAAAAAAAAAAAAAGATGGGCAAGGAGGCCGGAGGACACCCTTGTTCTCAGGAGAGGCCTGCTGAGGTACCTGCTGTAGGGGTCAGGCACCTGAAACTGTCTGCCACACACAAAGCAATATGACACTGACAACGGACAGAGGATCCAGGTCAAAAGCCAGCCCAGGCAGAAAGTCCATGAGACTCTTGTTGCCAACTAATCCAAAAGACAGAAGTAAAGGTGTGGCTCAACTGAAAGAACATCAACAAGACACACACACACACACACACACACACACACACACACACACACACACACACACACACACACACACACACACACACACACACACACACACACACACACACACACACACACACACACACACACACACACACACACACACACACACACACCCCCCCCCCCCCCCCCCCCCTTATAATCTTAACTACTTGGGAAGTAGAAATCTAGATGATCTCAGTTCAAAGCTAGTCTGAGCAGAAGAGTCTGTGAGACTTCATCACCAATATAACTAGCAAAAAGCTAGCCTGTAATCCTAGCTACTCAGGAGGCTGAGCTTTGAGGATTGTGGTTCAAAGCCAGCCTGGACAGGAAACTCCATTTGACTCTTATATCCAATTAACCACCAGAAAACCAGAAGCAGCGCTGTGAATCAAGTGACAGAGTGCTCACCTTGAGCTGAAGAGCTGAGGGACAGCGCCTAGGCCCAGAGTTCAAGCCCCCGGCCAACAAAAAAAAGAAAGCCCCAGGGACGGAGGCTCTGCAGGACCATGTGGAGGGCAAGTGGACATGGGCTCACGTCCTATGCCAGTGGTCCAGTGAGGCCGAGGGTGACAGGCTGTTCAGAGTGCAGGGAGGGCAGCTCATGCTTACATTTGTGACTCCACTCCGGTTCCGGGCCACTGTCTGGGATTTCAGCGTTGTCTGTTCAACACGCTTACGAAGGGTCTCAAATTCATTCTGGGGGTCCAGGATGAGGAGGCAGGGGTACTCTGTGGCCCTCTGGAAGAAGGACATATCTGGACACAGCCTCCTGTCAAGAGGGAACAGAAGAGTACGCTGTCACTCACGGTGGAGATGCTGGCTAGTCTAGTCCTGTATGACCCCAGAAGCAGTTGGGTTCTGTGTACCGGGCTTTTTTTCAGTGCTGGGCACAGAACCCAGAGCCTGGCACATGTGAGGCATGTGCTTCACCACTGACCTACACTTAACCCTGTCTGTTTTCAACTATAAGCTTTTAATCAAGAAAACATGCTTTTTCAAAGAACAGCACTAGTCATTTATCCTATACACTTTTATATTTTATACATATTTGCAAAGAAACATATACACAGGTTTTTTGGTTTGCTTTTTATTTTTTTGTTGGCTGTGGGGCTTGAACTCTGGGCTTGGGCACTGTCCCTCAGCTCTTCAGCTCAAGACAAGCTCCCTACTGCTTGAGCCACAGCACCACTTCTGGTTTTCTAGTGGTTTATTGGAGATAAGAGTCTCACGGACTTTCCTGCCCAGAATGGCTTTGAACTGTGATTCTCAGATCTCAGCCTCCTGAGTAGGATTACAGGCATGAGCCACCGGCGCCCGGCTCACAGTTTTTTGTTTTGTTTTGGTGGGTGGTCATGGGGTTTAAACTAAGGGCCTGGTGCTGTCCCTGAGCTTTTTTGCTCAAGGCTAGTGCTCTACCACTTTAAGCCTCAGCACCACTTCTGGTTTTCTGGTGGTTAATTGGAGATAAGTGTCTCCTGGACTATGCTTGAACCCAGACCCTCAGTAGCAAAGATTACAGGTGTGAGCCACTAGCACCCAGCTCATATACATACTTTTAAAAAGTGTCTTCTTGGGCTGAGAATGTGGCTCAGTGGTAGAGTGCTTGTCTATTTTTTTATTTTTTATTTTATTTATTTATTTATTTTGGGTCCGGTCATGGGGCCTGAACTCTGGGCCTGGGCGCTGTCCCTCAGCTCTTCAGCTCAAGGCTAGCACGCTACCACTTGAGCCATAGCACCACTTCCAGCTTTTTTTTTTCTGCTTATGTGGTGCTGAGGAATCGAACCCAGGGTGTCATGCATGCAAGGCAAGCCACCTTCTCAGCCCCAGAGTGCTTGTCTAGCACACATGAAGCCCTTGGTTCGATTCCTCAGTACCACATACACAGAAAAAGCTGGAAGTGATGCTGTGGCGCACGTGGTAGAGTGGTAGAGTGCTAGTCTTGAGCAAAAGAAGCTCAGAGAGGAGCTGGGAAGGTGGCTCAGTGGTAGAGCTCTTGCCTTGCATGCATGAGGCCCTGGGTTCGATTCCTCAGCACCACATAAGAAAAAGAAAAAAGCCAGAAGTGGCGCTGTGGCTCAAGTGGTAGAGCACTAGCCTTGAGCTGAAGAGCTGAGGGACAGCGCTCAGGCCCAGAGTTCAGGCCCCACGACCGGACCCCCCCCCCCCCAAAAAAAAAAAGAAGCTCAGAGACAGTGCCAAGGCCCCGAGCTCAAGCCCCAGAGATGGCGCAAAAAAAAAGTCTTCTTGCTTGTAATCTTCATTACTGAAGAGGCTGGGATCTGAGGATCATAGTTCAAAGCTAGCCTAGATAGGAAAGTTTAAGCTGGAAATGGTAGAGCACCAGCCTTGAGCTTTACTAAAAAGTTAAGGGACAGCACCAAGGCCCAGGAGTTTAAGCTCCGGTATAGCACACACACACACAAAAGTCTTCTTTTAAACCACAACCATGACTCTATTTTAAATATATGGCTGGGTATCAGTGGCTTACACCTGTAATCCTAGCTACTCAGGGGGATGAGATCTGAGGATTGTGGTTCAAAGCCAGATCAGGCAGGAAAGTCTGTGAGATTCTTTTCTCCAATTAACCACTAGAAAACCAGAAGCAGAACTGTGGCTCAAAGTGGTAGAGCATTAGCCTTGAGCAAATGAGCTCAGGGTCAGCACCCAAACCCTAAGTTCAAGCCCCAGGACTGGCACACACAAAAAAATATATGGGCTAAGGATGTAGCTCAGAGGCACAATGCTTACCTAGCATGGATAAAGCCCTTGGTTCAACTCTCATTACAAAAGAAGTATGTATATATGTTTTGTTTTGTTTTTTTGTCGGTGGTGGGGCCTGAACTCTGGGCCTGGGAGCTGTCCCTCAGCTCTTCAGCTGAAGGCTAGCACTCTACCACTTGAGCGTCAGCCCCACTTCCAGCTTTTTCTGCTTATGTAGTGCTGAGGAATTGAACCCAGGGCCTCATGCATGCAAGGCAAGCATGCTACCACTGAGCCACCTTCCCAGCCCCTGCATGTATGTTTTTTGTTGGTCATGGGGCTTGAACTCTGGGCCTGGGCACTGTCCCTCAGTTCTTCAGCTCAAGGCTAGTGCTATACTGCTTGAGCCACAGCATGACTTCCAGCTTTTTCTATTTCTGTGGAACTAAGGAATCAAACCCAGGGCCTCATGCATGCAAGGCAAGCATTCTACCACTGAGTCATCTTCCCAGCCCCACATATTATTTTATACATACATAATTATCTACACATACATACACAGAAGAATGTTATCCATTGTGTGACTGACAATAAAGAAAGAGTTCATCCCTCGGCACATCACCTTTATAACAATTTAAAAATTATTAACAAAAAAAAGAGCTGGGTGCTGGTGGCTCACACCTGCAATCCTAGCTAATCAGGAGGCTGAATCTGAGGATCATGGTTCAAAGCCAACCCAGGCAGGAAAGTCCATGAGACTCTTATCTCCAATCAACCACTAGGAAAAAACCAGAAGTGGTGCTGTGGCACAAATGGTAGAGGGCTCGTCTTGAGCTGAAGAGCTGAGGGACATCACTGAAGCCTAGAGTATAAGCCCCATGACTGACCAAAAAAAAGAAAAGATAGCAGTTCAGCTAAGGAGATAGGACATGAAGTGGGTGAGTGGTCAGAATATATTATACTCATGCATGGCAAAGCTATAATGAAGCTCCTTTGTATACAGTAAGCACACCCTGACCAAAGAAAAGTGGGCCGTGGGGCTGGGAATGTTGCTTAGTGAGTGCTCGCCTAATCTGCATGAAGTCCTGGGTTCCAATCCTCAGTGACACATACACAGAAACAGCCAGAAGTGGTGCTGTGGCTCGAGTGGTAGAGGGCTAGCCTTGAGGAAAAGAACCTCAGGGACAGTGTCCAGGCCCTGAGTTCAAGCCCTAGGACATGAAAGAAAGAAGAAAGAGACAGAGAGACAGACAGATGGACGGATGGACAGAGGGGGGGGAGGGGCGTGTGCAAAGTGCCATGAACTGAGTGGGAAGAGGAGCGTGGGAAAGGCGGAAGTGCATCAGGAGGTGGCCAGCCTCTGAAGGGACCAGGCCCCGCTGGGCACATAGTTCTAGATTACACAGGGCCATTAGAGTACCTTCTGGGTAGAGGCTACAGCAACACCAAACAGAACAAGACAGAGTACTCTGTGTTGGGGCTTCCTGGGGCCATCTGGGCAGGGGCCTGGACAGAGGAAAGCCCTGGGCAGTGGGGGTGAGCAGGATCTCCCTCTTATCTGTATCCTGCCACCCGCCTTCTCAAGCCACAGGGCACTCAGGCTGTTCCCTGGGCCTAGCAGGCTCTTCCATGCAGCTCTGGGCCTCCCTGCCCCTCTTCTTCCTTCCAGGCCCTGCTCAGTTTCCTTCTCTACAAGGAGCCCTGCTCATTCTCAGCTCTGCCCCTCTCCTCCCTACACTACGTACATGGTATTTAAAGTCAACGTATTCCATGAAGGCTGGAGTATCTTGTCTCCCTGTGTACGCTGGAGCCCCTTCCATCTCAGGAGGGTTCCATCCACCCTCCTCACACAGCAATTCCTTGACCAATCAGCCAAGCAAGGGCGCACCTGGCCTGTGTGAGCAACTGAGAGCTGCCCCTTGGGAATGCTGAAGGAGCGTGTGGAGGCAGCTTGGGCAGGCTGCTCTAGGCAGAGGGGTGAGCTCAAGAGGGCCCCTCTAATGGTGAACTGATGATTGTGTGTGTATGCACGTGGGTGCACATGTGTGTGTACCAGTATTGGGGCTTGAATCAGGGCCTGGGTGCTTTCCCTTAGCTTTTTTGCTCAAGGCTAGCCCTCTACTACATGAGCCACGTCAGCTTTTTTGTGTTCCATGGAGGTAAGAGTCTCCCAGACTTTTCTGTCCAGGCTGGCTTTGAGTCATAGCTTCAGATGTCGGCTTCTGGCATCGCTAGGGTGACAGTGAGCAGTGGGGCCTGCATCAGCCCAACAGTTCTGAGGCCTCGCTACTGCGCTGGGCCCAGCCTAACTGCGGAAGCCCAGGCCTGGCTTCATAACCTTCACCTCCGCTGTCTCACTCCCATTCCCAGATACAGTTATTCAGGGCCAGAGAGCCCGAGCCACCTGTACAAAGCCACACAGCTAAGCACTAACAATGCTCGTAAGTGGAACCAGACGAACAGGCTCCAGAGCTCTTCCCCTTCCCGCTGCCCTGTGGATGTTCCTTCCTTCCAGCTCCCCTGGCTGCCAGGCTCCCCAGGAAACAGGGTGACGCAGCCAGCTTCCCAGTATTTGTTTTTTTCTTTTTCTTTTTGTTGGTTGGGGGCTTGAACTCTGGACCTGGGCGTGTCCTGAGCTCTTCAGCTCTGCTTTTCTGGTGTTTAATTGGAGATAAGTCTCACAGACTTTCCTTCCCCAGCTGGCTTTGAACCATGATTCTCAGATCTCAGCCTCCTGAGTACCTAGTATTACAGGCGTGAGCCACCAGCGCCCGGCAGCCAGTATTTCTTCACTGAAGGGAAAGATACACACCCATCACTTGAGAACTCAGGTTTGACCTTCACTTGCTGACCTTTGCTTATTTTTGTTTTTTGCCAGTCCTGGGGCTTGCACTCAGGGCCTGGGCACTGTTCTTGACCTTCTTTTGCTCAAGGCTAGCACTCTACTACTTGAGCTACAGTGCTACTTTTGGCTTTTTCTGTTTATATGTACTGAGGAATTGAACACAGGGCCTTATCCATGCTAGGCAAGCACTTTACCACTACTCCACATTCCCAGACCACTTGCTGACCTTTGTACAACTGCCCTATACCCTTGGGATCAAGCCTAAGGTCCAACCCTGGCCTCTCGTCCGTTGGCCTCGACAAGGCTCCCAAAACGTTCCTGGCCTTGTGTGCTCACAGGGCTGCCCTGTCTATCCCCTGCACCCCCTCACATCCCCCCAAACACTTACCACAGTGCCGGCTGCAAGCCTGCTTTGCCATCACTCTCCACCCACAGCCCACAGCTCTTTCCGGAAAGAGACCACGGCCGTGGGTCCAGTGCTCAACCTTGAGCCTAGCACAGAGATTGGCGACTGTGGAATGCGTCATCAGACGGACCCATCAACGCCAGGAACCAATGGAACAAGGCAAGGGTAAGGAGGCCCTGAGCCCCACAGCCACGGGACAGTGGCCAGTCCCCATGTCTTTTTTTTTTTGTCGGTCATGGGGCCTGAACTCTGGGCCTGGGCGCTGTCCCTCAGCTCTTCAGCTCAAGGCTAGCGCTCTACCACTCGAGCCACAGCGCCACTTCTGGCTTTTTTCTGCTTATATGGTGCTGAGGAATTGAACCCAGGGCCTCATGCATGCAAGGCAAGCGCTGTACCACTGAGCCACCTTCCCAGCCCTCCCCGTGCCTCTTACCGGACATCCTTGTCGATCTGCAGCAGCACTTCATTGTCCCTGAAGTAAGTGTTCCACCTGCTGTCGGGGTTGGGGTTGAGGGGCTGTGGGGAGAGAGGTGCTGCTTGGTCTGAGGCCCGGCTCGGGGAGCCATCCCAGGTTGGAGCCTCAGCAGTGTCCTCCTCCCCCTCACCGTCCACCACAGCCCCAGCTCTGGTCCAGAGACAGAGCCTCAGCACGGCTGCTCAGTGGCAGCACAGGGCTTCTCAGGGCCTCAATCCCCTTCAGACTCAATTGGCGGTGAGCCCTGCATGCTGTGCTGAGTATAGCATGCCTAGAAGACTGTTCCTTCTGCACACTGCCCTCACTGGAGCCTGCGGACTGCATGTGCTCACTAAGTGCTGCTGAGTGAACGAATGAGTGAATGAATGTCCATCAGGACTCTTGAGTCTCATTTGCCCTGCTTTGGGTGGTCCTTAAACTTCTATCTGGAGGCAAGCTCATCTCTACTGCTGAGCATCCAGGGAGCTGCTGAGTATTTCAGGAGAGAACAGGGCTCCCTCCCGACCAGTCAGGCAGTCGATCCTCCTTCTTGCCCTATATAGTCCTGGTAACCTTCCTCAAGGACTGAGGAGAAGAGAGGCTGGGCCAGGAGTGCTAACCTAGCATGCATGCAACTCCAGGTTCCAGTACCAGCACCTCAGCAATTGGGGGAGAAAAATAGAAACAAACAAACAAACAAAAAACATTTAGCCAGGCATGATGGCACATAGCTGTAATCCCAGGACTCTGAAGGCTAAAGCAAAGGATCTTGACTTCAGGGCCAGCCTCTGTGCTACACAGTGAGTCTTAATTTAAAAAAAAAAAAAGCTGGGCACTGGTGGCTCACACCTGTTATCCTAGCTACTCAGGAGGCTGAGATCTGAGGACCGAGATTCAAAGCCAACCCTGGGCAGCAAAGTCTGTGAGATTCCTTTTTTTTTTCTATCGGTTTTAGGGCCTAAACTCTGGCCTGGCTCTTCAGCTCAAGGCTAGCACTCTACCACTAGAGAAATAGCTCCACTTCCAGCTTTTTCTGTTTATGTAGTGCTAAGGAATTGAACCCAGAGTCTCATACATGCAAGGCAAGCGCTCTACCACTGAGCCACCTTCCCAGCCCCAAAGTCTGTGAGATTCTTATTTCCAATAAACCACCAGAAAATGGGAAACGGCCATGTGGGTCAAGCGGTAGAGTGCTAGCCTTGAGCTGACGAGCTGAGGGACAGCGCCCAGCCCCAGAGTTCAAGTCAAAAGCCCAGGGATGAGGGCTGTGGGGACAGTGCCTGCCGAGCACCTGGGGCAGGGCTGCCTATGGCCCCATCTGACACTGGTTTCACTTTTGTGTAACTGACTAGGTGCAGGGACCTATCCATTAAGACTCTGATGAAACAGAGTGAGACAATGTCTAGGGCTGGGCAACACTGCAGACAGGAGGTCCTGGCAGGGCCCACAGAGGCCAAGGCCAGGCTGCACCCATCCTCCAGCAGGCCCCCCTTGCCTGACCCAAGGGCACCCCTTGGGTCTGACCCCTCACCCCTACTCACGTGGTCCTCAAAGGTCACGTCTTCCCTGGATACCCCCAAGTTGGCCTTGGCAATGCCAGGCTGGATGATCATTTCCCTCAGGAACTGAGAGTACAGCTCCCTACGGGGAAGATGAGAACACGTGAGTCCCGAAGCTGCCTAGAGAGCTCAGACCAGAGAATTAGCAAAGAAGGCAAAGACTGCTTCTGTCTGGGGTCTCCCATCACCAGTCTCCCATTCCCAGGCCTTACCTCTGTTTGGCCAGGATGGAGGTCCATGAAGCTCTCTCCAAGGGGAGGTAGTTCAAGAGGATCTGCACGAGAGAGGGGCACAGCTATGATGTCACCTGCCCCTACCCTGGACAGCAGGTGGACATCGATGGGCTTCTCATGAAAAGGCTTCGTAAAGCCAAACACACACAAGATGGCAGACACCAAGGAACTGAGGCAGCATAGCTTCCCTTTCCTCTCCACTGCCTCCCACCTCCTGCGTCCCAAAGAGTGCTTCCCTCTGCTTTTCCTTACACAGATTCTTCCAAACGACAATGGAACCTGAAACTCCAAGGAGCTGGGAAGCATGCCCCGGGGATTCCCCTCCTGTTCGGCTCATGGATTCCAGCACAACCCAGCCTTTCCTTGGTCCCCACAAATATCATTTCCGCAACATTTCTTTTTTTTTTTTTTTTTTGGTCGGTTGTGGGGCTTGAACTCTAGGCCTGGGTGCTGTCCCTGAGCTCTTCAGCTTAAGGCAAGAGCTCTACCGCTTGAGCCACAGAGCCACTTCAGGTTTTCTGGTGATTAATTTGAGATAAGAGTCTCATGGACCTTCCTGCTTTGAACCACAATCCTCAGATCTCAGCTCTTGAGTAGCTAGGATTATAAGCATGAGCCACTGGCACCCAGCCATAACATCTCTTTTATTGGCAATATCGTCCCGTCTTCCAAGGGGAACTAGAGGGGATACCAAAAGGACAGACGGATCCTAGCACATGCAGAAAAACATCGTCAGTCAAGCAAGCAAAGGTGCAGAACAGAAGGAAGGAGCTGGGGTGGGGATGGCCCATGCAGGAACCCAGGGACCCAGAGCAGAGCAGCCCACCTCAGGCACACCCACCTTCCAGCAGAGGCACCGCAGTCCGCCCTCAAAGGGAATGCCTGTGGACACAGCAGGCACAGATCACTATAGGCCAGACTCCCAGAACCCCCAGCCCTCTGTCTTGGAACCAGTTGGCAGGGCGCAGGGAGAGCAAGAAATTTTTCTTTAGGATCATTTTCCACCAGACACTTCCAGGCTGGAGGCTGATGCTGTGTGTAATCTCTGTCCATGGTCCCAGCCTTTGCCCAGAGTACCTTCCATTTGGAATGTTTTTTTTTTGTCAGTCATGGGCTGAACTCTGGGCCTGGGTGCTGTCCCTCAGCTCTTCAGCTCAAAGAAAGTGCTTTACCACTTGAGCCATAAATACACTTCTGGTTTTCTGGTGGCTTATTGGAGATAAGAGTTTCACAGCCGGGAGCTGGTGGCTCATATCTGTAATCCCAGCTACTAAGGAGGCTGAGATCTGAGGATCTCAGTTCAAAGCCAGCCTGGGCAGGAAAAGTCCGTGAAATTCTTTTTTTTTTGGTCGGTCGTGGGGCTTGAACTCTGGGCCTGAGCGCTGTCCCTCAGCTCTTCAGCTCAAGGCGAGCGCTCTACCACTTGAACTACAGCGTCACTTCCGGTTTTCTGGTGGTTTATTGGAGATAGGAGTCTCACCGTCTCTCCTGCCTGAGCTGGCTTTGAACCGCGATCCTCAGATCTCAGCCTCCTGAGTAGCTAGGATTACAGGCGTGAGCCACCAGCACCCGGCTTAGTCCGTGAAATTCTTTTTTTTGTTTTTTTTTTTGGGTCCGGTCATGGGGCCTGAACTCTGGGCCTGGACACTGTCCCTCAGCTCTTCAGCTCAAGGCTAGCACTCTACCACTTGAGCCACAGCGCCACTTCCGGCATTTTTCTTTTTGCTTAAGTGGTGCTGAGGAATCGAACACAGGGCCTCAGGCATGCAAGGCAAGTGCTCTACCACTGAGCCACCTTCCCAGCCCCAGTCCATGAAATTCTTATCGCCAATAAACCACCCTAAAACTGGAAGTGGCGCTGTGGCTCAAGTGGTAGAGCGCTAGCCTTGAGCTGAAGAGCTGAGGGACAGAGCTCAGGCCCAGAGTTCAAGCCCCACGACCGACCCCCCCCGCCCCAAAAAAAAAAAGTTTCACAGACTTTTCTGCCTGAGCTGGCTTTGAACCGAGATCCTCAGATCTCAGCCTCCTAAGTAGCTAGGCTTACAGGTGTGATCTACTGGCACCCGGGATGGAATGTTCTTTTGAGGATAACACCTTGAGATTTTTTTTTCCCCCTTGAAGGATCCACTATAGCTAGGCACCAGTGGCTCATCCCTGTATTCCTAGCTACTCAGGAGGCTGACATCTGCGGACTGCTATTCAAAGCCAACCTGAGCAGGAAAGTCTGTGAAACTCTTTATCTCTAATTAACCTCCAAAGCCACAAGTGGAGCTGAGGCTCAAGTTGTAGAGTGCTAGACCTGAGAAAAAGCAGCTCAGAAACAGTGCCTGGACCCTGAGTTTAAGCCCCAGAACCAGTAGCAAAAAACAGAAGCCCATGAAAATCTCACTGACAATTAACCAGCAAAAAGTCAGAAGTGGAGTTATGGTGTAAGTGGTAGTACACCACCTTTGATAGAAAAAGTGGAGGGAGAACAGTAGGCCCTGAGTTCAAGCCCCAGTGCTGGCATGCATGCACACACATAACCAAGAACTTGAACGCAGATCTGACTTAAGCCCAAATTCTTTACTATGATCAGATACTGCTACCTCTTTGGGGCCTCAGCACCACTCCAAAACTAACAGCCCAATTCTTCTTGTGAGCAGCTATTGTGATGCCTTCCCTGGTACAATTACATCAGCCAGGGCCACTCAGTATCTGCATGGGAAGGACAGGGCAACATAAAAGCCTTGCCAGGGACAGGGTAGTGGCAGGGAGCTAGGGAGCTACACAACACTTGGGGATTTTTTTTTTTTTGGTGATAAAACAGAGTTTTGAACTCAGGGCCTTCCACTTGTTAAACTGGTCCTTTACTATCTGAGCCTCACTTCCAGTTCTTTTTGCTCTGGTTAACTGAGATAGGGCTCACACACACTCCCACCCCAGGAGGGCCAGCCTGGACCACAATCCCATTTAGGCTTTCCTCTGTGGGTAAGATTAATAGGCACATACCACCATGCCCAGTCACTTTGGTTAATTTTTAAAGACAGGAAAAACAACAACAACAACAACAAGTTAGCTTCACGCTGGAAAATTAACCATGTCAGGGAGGGCAAAGTTCAAAATGGCCGAGGTTCATTCAGTTCCTTCTTTCAAGCCAATATTCTGGACTTTTACTATGAACCAAAGTTCACTGTTGGCTTCGACCCCCAAACCACAGAGGGAACCAAGAAACATACTGCAGCTAACCAAATTCTATAATGCAGGAAGAGAGTTGAGGACTGAAGAAAGGCCTGACCAGGATCCAAAGGTCTCCCCACCCTCCTTCTCCATCTTGGGCTCTCCAGTGACTGAGGAACTGCTGCCTCCTTCCCCCAGGTGTAACTGTGGCCACCACTCCTCTGGGAAACGGCTCTGTAGAAGACCCTAAGGGTCAGTCTGGCTTCTAGAACTGACCAGATAAAACCCTAACACCTTCCCTTCCCCGTCCTAGCCATAATGCTGTAGTTGCTTCTTACCACTAAAACTGAGTTCCCGAAGCTTTTCCAAAGCAATTGAGGGCTCCTTCAGGACATCCTGGAAATCTGCAATCCTAAAAAGGAGGAGAGGGAGGTAACTGGAGCACACTTAGACCCCAAGACTGCAGCCCCCACCCTCATACCACCAGTGTAATGATCATTTCATTAAACCCAGGAATGGGGAGGCCATCAAAAGATAGGAGAGAGGGCTGGGAATGCAGCTTAGTGGTACAATGTTTGCCTAGCATGCATGAAACCCTGGGTTTGATCCCCCAGTACCACATAAACAGAGAGCCAGAAGTGATGCTGTGGCTCAAGTGGCAGCTCAGCAACAGTCCCTAGGCCCGAGTTCAAGCCCAGGACTGGCAAAATAAATGAATGAATGAATGAATGAATAAGAGATCTGAGCAGTTTTCTTGTCTATTAGGGCACTGGAATGAGCACTATAAAATTAAGCATTTGCTCCTATTCAGGAGGCTCTATCTGAGATCATGGTTCAAAGCCAGCCAGGGCATAAAATGCTTATCTCTGAACAACCACCAAAAAGCCAGAAGTGAAGCTGTGGCTGAAGGGCAAGAGTGCTAGCTTTGAGCAAAAAAAGCTCAGGGGTGGGCTGGGAATGTGGCTCAGTGGTAGAGCGCTTGCCTTGCATGCATGAAGCCCTAGGTTTGATTCCTTAGCACCACATAAGCAGAAAAGAGAAACCAGAAGTGGTGCTGTTGTTCAAGTGGTAGAGTGCTAGCCTTGAGCTGAAGAGCTGAGGGACAGAGCTCAGGCCCAGAGTTCAGGCCCCATGACTGGCAAGAAAAAAAAAAAAAAAGCTCAGGGGCAGTGCCTAGGCCCTGAGTTCAGGCTCCAGTATTGGCACAAAAAGTAAATTACTTAATTACATTAAAGCATTCTCTACTATCCAAAGAGCTGGCGTTTATTTATTGAACACTACAAAAAGGCCAAGAGTAGCCCAGATTACAGCTACTACCACGAGACTCAAGCAATTCTAGGAATTGGGAGTAACTGGATTAGCAAACAATGGGTCTGTGCAATCTGCCCGCAGTTTCCACGTTCAGAAAAGTAACTATTGTAAGTCTTCCAGGCCTGTCCTCGGGCAAGGACAAAGATAAATAGTAACTCCTAGAGGAAGAAGAGGGGGAAAAAAAGGAGGAAAAAAACTGGCCAACGCTGCAAGACGTGGCCAGGGGGAGGCCAGGCTGGTTCTCTCGGGTTTCTAGGAAGAAAGGGGCACGGGGGGGGGGGGGGTTGCGGGGAGCATTTGGTGAAAGGAGGGTGCTGGGGGCTGGGGGCCAGATGCTGGAAGAGGCAGACATCTCGGGAAGGAAGGAGGTTCGGGCCAGGGAGGGCCACGTCCGCGGGGACTCCAGCGGCTCGGCTACTCCTCCCCTCGGGCCCACAGGCCCCGGGGCGAGGCGGAGGCCCCGCGACCCTCGGCCGGGCCTTGCACTCCGGGCTGCGCAGGCGCCGGCCCGCCCTGCACTAAGCTAAGCGCCGGGGGCAGCCGGGACGATCGGGCCCGGGGGCCCCTTACCGGCTCTTGTGCAGACTCGACATGGCGTTGACTTCTGAACCCCCGGGTGCCTTTGCAGCCTCGGGAGTCACCGCCGCCCCCCGGGGACGCGGGGCGCTCCGCGAAAGCCTCCGGCCGGAAACAAACCCGCGAGCAGTGCGCGTTCCGACCTGCCCGGCCCCGCCCACAGTCACGTGCGGAGCATTCTCCCCCCCCCCCCCAACCCGCGCTGCGCATGCGCCCTGCGCGCGCCTCGTGTGCTTTCCTGAGCTTCCGGGAACTTTTTTCCCTTTTATTAATATTTGCAGTCGTGGGGCTTGAACTCTGGGCCTGGGCGCCGTCCCTCAGCTCTTCAGCTGAAGGCGAGCGCTCTACCACTTGATCCACAGTGCCACTACTGGTTTTCTAGTGGTTCATTGGAGGTGAGAGTTGTAAGGGGCGGGGCGCCCGTGGCTCCCGCCTGTCATCCCAGCTTCTCAGGAGCTGAGATCTGAGGATCGCGGTTCAAAGCCAGCCCGGGCGGGAAAGTCCATGAGACTCCTATCTCCAATAAAAACCACCAGAAAACCGGAAGTGGCGCTGTGGCTGAAGTGGAAGAGCGCTCGCCTTGAGCTGAAGAGCTGAGGGACAGCGCCCAGTTCAAGCCCCACGACCGACAAAAAAAAAAAAAAAGAGTTGTAAGGTATACTAAATAGGTAGGTTCCATTAGGGAGCCGATGAAGAGAACACCAGGCGCTATTCAGGCAGGAGAAGCATGGCTGAAAAGGAAAGTGGGGGTGGGGTGGGGGAAGGACCCTCAGCTGGGCCAGGAGTTATCTAGGCCAAGGACAGGAAGAGATGTGGCCAGGTGGGGGAAAGGTGTGGCCACACGGGATCTGGATGTGACCTCAGGGTCTGGGACCCTCCTAAGGTCAGATGGGAGGCATGTAACCAGAGGTGGCCCAGTGGGGATGTGACCTAGCAGGAGGGTAAGGTGACTGCTTCCAGGTCTGCCAGTTACCTAGGTAACAGATACTGGGCAGAAACTTAGCCAAGAGGGAGGGTCTGGAAAGGTGGCTCAGAGGTAGAGTGCTTGCCTCCCATGCAATGGGGCCCTGGGTTCAATTCCTCAGCACCACATAAACAGAAAACGCCAGAAGTAGAGCTGTGGCTCAAGTACTAGACTTGAGCAAAAGCAGCTCAAAGACTGTGCCCAGGCCTTGAGTTCAAGCCCCAGAACTGGCAATAGATAAATAACTTTAAAAAAAAAAAAAAAGAAAAGAGGGAGGGAGGTGTCCCTGTTCAGGCCTTACAAGAGTCTCAAGGACTTTCCTGCCCAAGCTGGTTTGGTACTGTAATCCTCAGATCTCAGCCTCCTGATAGCTGGGATTACAGGCATGAGCTACTGTTCGGTTTCTTTTTCTTTCTTTTTTATTATTTTGGTGCCAGTCAGTCCTGAGCTCTGACCCTGAGCTTTTGTGCTGAAGGCTATCGCTCTACAACTTGAGCTAGGGCTCCACTTCTGGCCTTTTGGTGGTTAATGGTAGATAAGTCTCAGAATCTCAACCTTGATCTGAGGATCACAATTTGAGGCCAGGGGAAGTCCTTAAGATTCTCATCTCTGGGGAAGATGGCCCAGTGGTAGAGTGCATGCATGAGACCCTGGGTTCAATTCCTCAGCCCCACATAAGCAAAATAAGCCGGAGGTGGTAGAGTGCAAGCCTTGAGCTAAAGAAATTCAGGGACAGGGGCTGGGAAGGTGGCTCAGTGGTAGAGTGCTTGCTTCGCATGCATGAGGCCCTGGGTTTGATTCCTCAGCACCACATAAGCAACAAGAAAAAAGCCGGAAGTGGCGCTGTGGCTCAAGTGGTAGAGCGCTAGCCTTGAGCTGAAGAGCTGAGGGACAGCGCCCAGGCCCAGAGTTTAGGCCCCACAACCGGACCCAAAAAAAAAAGAAAAAAAGAAATTCAGGGACAGCACCCAGGCCCTGAGTTCAAGCCTCAGACTGGCAAAAATAAATAAATAAATAACTTTGTATGAAATATATAATAAGCATTGACATAATTGCACAAAGGCAGGGGTCTTGCATTAATAGCCAGACCATGAGCTTCCTATTTATGTTTTCTATGTAGATGGCAATAATAGGTACACACACTAGTATAGTCAGCTTTCTTGGTTGAGATGAGGGCTCATGAGCCTTATGGCTAGGCTGGCCTCTTACCTCAATTCTTCCCATTTCTATCTGCCAAGTATCTAGGATTATGGTGGTGAGCCACTTATCTGACTTGCTTTTATCTGTTTAATCTTGGTGCTGGTATTGTAGCCCAGGGCTTCAAGCATGCTATTCAGATGCTCTAATGCTGATCCACACTGCCAATTCAATGTTTCTCAAAATTATTTTGACCTTTGTATTTTGTCCTTGACATTCTATCTTAACTTTGGAACCAGCTTGTAAATTTCTAGGGAGAAAAATACCTGCTGAGGTTTTTATTTTAATTGCATTGAATCTATAGATCAATTTGGAAATAACTAATTTTTAAAATCATCAGATCTACAGACATATTTCTCTACCGATTTCATTAATTTCTCAGTAATGCTTTTTTTTTTATTTACCCAGACAGGGAAATCCATAAGATATTTATCTCCAATTATCTCAGAAAAGTCTGAAGAGGATCTATGTCTCAAGAAGTAGAGTATGGGGCTAGGAAGGTAGTTCAGTGGTAGAGTGCTTGCCTTGCATGCCTGAGGCCCTGGGTTCGATTCCTCAGCACCACATAAGCAAAAAGAAAAAAGCCAGAAATGGCAATGGCACTGTGGCTCAAGTGGTAGAGCGCTAGCCTTGAGCTAAAGAGCTGAGGGACAGCGCCCAGGCCCAGAGTTCAGGCCCCACCACTGGCCAAAAAAAAAAAAAAAAGTAGAGTATGAGCCTTGAGCAAAAGCAGCTTAGAAGCCTGGCATTGGTGGCTCACACCTATAATCCTGGTTACTCAAGAGGCTGATTTCTGAGGATTGAGGTTGGAAGCCAGCATGGGTAGGAAAGTCCGTGAGTTTTTTGTTTTTGTTTGGTCAGTCATGGGCCTTGAACTTTGGGCCTGGACACTGTCCCTCAGCTCTTCAGCTCTTCAGTCCAGGCTAGGGCTCTAGCCCTTGAGCCACAGCACCACTTCCGGCTTTTTCTATAAATGTGGTGAAAGAGGATGGGACACATCCATCCCAGGGGACCACGCAGAGGCAGGCAGGCACAAGAGAAAGATTATTATAAGGTTTATTAGAAGAGCCATATTTCCCCCAAGAGGGAACACATGGCCTCCGTCACCATCCAGTAGCTGGGGGGTCTGGGGGATAGGAGGTGAGGTGGATGGGAGTTCAGGTGGGTTTTGGGTGGAGAGGAGGGGCCAGCTGCATGGAGGGAACTCCAGGAATAGGAGGGGGGCCCAGGTCTGGGCAGAGCTGAGGACCAAAGGTGAGCATAACACTAACATGTGGCTGGGCACCGGTGGCTCACGCCTGTAATCCTAGCTACTCAGAAGGCTGAGATCTGAGGATCGAGGTTCAAAGCCAGCCCGGGCAGGAACATCCTTGAGACTTTTATTTCCAATAAACCACTAGAAAACCGGAAGTGGCACTACGGCTCAAGCAGTAGAGTGCTCATGTTGAGCTGAAGAGCTGAGGGACAGCGCCCAGGCCCAGAGTTCAAGCCCCATGACCGACCAAAAAAAAAACCTAACGTGGTACTAAGGAATCAAACCAGGGCTTCATGCATGCAAGGCAAGCATTCTACCCACTAGGCCATATTCCTAGCCCTCCATAAGACTTTTTTTTTTCTTCCGGTCATGGGGCTTGAACTCTGGACCTGGGTGCTATCCTTGCGCTCTTCAGCTCAAGGCGATTGCTCTACCACTTGATCCACAGTGCCACTTCCGGTTTTCTAGTGGTTTATTAGAGATAAGAATGTTTCAAGTAGTATGGCGGTTCCTTTTCAAAAGACTCCACATAGACTTCCCCTATGACCCAGCAATCCCACTTTTGGGCATTTACCCAAATAATCACAAACAAGACCATTCTAAAGCTACTAGCACAACTATGTTTACTGCAGCATTATTTACCATAGCTAAGATATGGAACCAACCCAGATGCCCCTCAGTAGATGAATGGATCAAGAAAATGTGGTATATATACACAAAGGAATTCTATGCCTCCATCAGAAAGACATTGCCCCATTTGTTAGGAAATGGAAAGACTTGGAAAAAATTATATTAAGTGAAGTAAACCAGGCCCAGAGAAACATAGGTCCCATGGTTTCCCTTATTTACAGTAACTAGTATATGTCTGAGACAAGCAGAAAAGGTCAGATAAGTTGATGTTAGGTGAAATGAACCCCAAGATAAATATTCAAATGTTTTTTCTTTCTTGCGATTGTTTCTAACATATTTATGATTTCTTTGTTGCTTTGTATGTCCCTCCCCCACAGTATAACTCCTAGTTTCATTGTATTTGAAGTTAGTATAATTTGTGGAGGGGAAGGGCAAAAACAAACCATTTAAATAGGGTTACAGGTGGACCCATTGTAACAATGAGATGTACAAGTTGTTATGTCAAAAAACGAACAACTTGGGGCTGGGAAGGTGGCTCAGTGGTAGAGCGCTTGCCTTGCATGCTCGAGGCCCTGGGTTCGATTCCTCAGCACCACATAAGCAGAAAAAAAAAAACCGGAAGTGGCGCTGTGGCTCAAGTGGTAGAGTGCTAGCCTTGAGCTGAAGAGCTGAGGGACAGCACCCAGGCCCAGAGTTCAGGCCCCAAACCGGACCCCCCCCCCAAAAAAAAAAAAAAACAAAAACGAACAACTTTGGCGGCGGGGGGTGGGGGGGGTGGGGAGGGTGTTGGGGGAGTAGGAGGAGGAGATGGGAAGGGATGGGAAGAGAAAACAAAGGAGGAGGCAACAATACTTGATAACAAATGTACTCATTGGGCTGGGAAGGTGGCTCAGTGGTAGAGCGCTTGCCTTGCATGCTCGAGGCCCTGGGTTCAATTCCTCTGCACCACATAAGCAGGGAGAAAAAAGCCGGAAGTGGCACTGTGGCTCAAGTGGTAGAGTGCTAGCCTTGAGCTGAAGAGCTAAGGGACAGTGCCCAGGCCCAGAGTTCAGGCCCTACGACTGGACCCCCAAACAAAGAAATGTAC